GATTACCCACAATGCCGTCTGTTCTCCTCATATCCCCCAGATGGGATGGTGCATTCTGGGATTTCTATAACGTAGGAGGAGAGTGAGACTGACAGCAGCAGACCAAGGCCAAAGATGTGAATATTTTTTGCCAGCTTTTGAGTATTTGCAGAGCCACATTCAAGCAGTTTTCTTAAAAGGAATTTAAGGTCCTAAATGACTTTGAGCCATGTTATAATGTTGTTACCTCCTCAAAAACATACCTGGATTTGTTTTTGTTTCATTCACATCATTTATTATTAGTCTGTCTACATCTCCAAAGCTCCAAATGTTAGTTTACAGCTGCATTTTACCTTTTATTCAGCTGAGATTGGCAATTTCAGAGCTGAAATCATCCAAATAATTCTAGTAAAGGTGTATGGCGTTTAAAAACACAGTGGAGCACTTCCTGTATCACCACACGGCATCACAATGAGGACCTTTGAGTGTTTTCTGTTTGAGAGAATAACTCTGAACATGCAAGGTTTGTGTGTTAAAAATGTGTGGATGAAACAAAACACCACTCCGGGTCTGTTTTTGAAGAGGAAACAACATTATAACACACCTCAGAAAACAGCCTTATTATCAGCCGCACTTAAATTACATTATAGCCTTGGTACGTTGCAGTGAATAATTTTCTATATTATACAGCAGTAATGGATTTGCTATGAGGATGCCATGGTTTGAATCTCATTTATTTTAATTAGACTTGGTAATTTCATAATGGCAGGTTATCTGGCAATGAAACACAAGCTTTTAAAAGACCTAACAGGATCTTGTAAGTCATTAAACACAAATTACTATTCACTCAGGAAGATACATGATTACCTAAAATACACTGAAATATCTGCAGACGCTGAAGAAGAGTATTCAACTGGGACACTACTACTTAACCCGACCAGGACAGAAATCTAGGACTAAATTATGCTTATAACATAGAAATTATAACATTCTTAATCTTTTGCATTGAAATTGTACAGATCAAATATCAAAAACTTTACTTTACTGGTAGGGATGTAACAATAACCGAAATATCGTGATATCGTATCTTCAAAGTTCTCACAATAATATCGTGGACCATCACAATATATCAAGTTATAAGTCTCTTTGCTTAAATTAAGAGTTAAGATAGAGGGAACTACATAGCCCATGATCCTTTGCTCCATTTCAGTACAGAATACATGAAGAAATAACAGATCTAAGCACTTTTAAGTCTTAGTTCTTTGGATTAAGTCTCGTCAAGGCATTTTAAGAGGAAAAAGTCACATATTAACAGTTTTGTAAGAATCTACAAAGTATCGAAATAAATATTGTACCGTGAGATGTATATCGTGAAAATATCGTACTGAGAAATTTGGATATTGTTACATCCCTAATCGTGAGCCTCCCCACCAGATCATGAGGTTTCCCATGAAATCACAATAAATATTGTGCCGTGAGGTTCATACTGTGACAATATCGTATCGTGAGACTTGGATATGGTTACATACCTAGTTACTGGTAATATATCCATGAAGATGCATTTATCCAAATACTTTCCCTCATGGATCAATAAAGTTTGTCTAAATCGAAGTTTCAAAACCAATACTGTAAACAAAAATTAAACAAAAGAGTCATGGAACAGTTGAATAGTGTCTGAATACTATTGAATGAATGTTTATGTTAAAGGTACAATATATAACTTGGTGGCATGTCAGCTGCATGATTCCATTGAAATAGGCCCTTCTCCAGGCCAAATATGAGTCAGGTTTGTGGACATGCAAGCCCTCTCTCAGTAAGGACGCATGTTTTTCAATCTTTTTCAGTCTAATAAAGAAACCAAAATGCTTTTTACGTTAGTCAGTTACACACTGTTACATACTGTGGCTTTAAATTTGCAATATGTAAATTTTTGCTTTAGGTTTGCATCACCTTTTTGTTTCAATGGATATGTCATTGCGCTGCCTGGAATGTTCTACAGTATGACATTAAACAGCTCTACCTTACATTTATTCAATTAGAAGTGTTTTTTTTTTTTTTTAGCTCAAAAATACCTAGAAAAACAGATATTCCGTTGTAAGCGAAGTTGCCTCAGGTTGCCTACAGATCTGACCTGTAACTTGGTCTGGTTTGGTCTCCATGAAGATAGAAAGGTTTAATGCCATACTGTGAGACATTCCAACATCTCCATGGAGCAAAGCATTTGACAGACCTTCCACCAGAAAAGTTACACAATGCACTTTTAAGTTTATTTTCACGTTTAACTTATTTTAGCAGAAATCTTTGGTAGAAAACACTTGATAAACATAACACAAATAAACCTACAGTATCAAGCTTAGGGCTTGTTTTATACAGTAGCTGGTGTGATGTTGTTATCCTTTGTTTTACACATTTCTTTTTTGCAAACTGGTCACAACACTGAGGAAGCTGCTTCTTCTTTATAGCATCTTTTCACAGGAAGAAACAGCAACGTTGCTATTTGCTATAGGAGACGGTGGCTTGTGTGTTGCTCATGTGCTTCCTATTTTCAAAGAGGAAGAGTTAAAAATGTGAGATGTATATGGCTGAACTGGAGGAGCTTCTGAGCTAAACATTAACACAAAGGATAATTTATTGTTCTCGCAGGCTTAAAGCTGCACTGTGTAACTTTTTGGTTGAGCGCCTGTCACCTGCATGTTTCGATGTCATTGCTCTGGAATGTTCCACAGTATGGCATTAAACAGCTCTGTCTTACATTTATTAAATTACAGGTGGTTTTATAGCTCAAAAATACCAAGAAAAACAGGAATTCTGACGCGTATCTTGGTCTGGTTTGGTCTCCATGAAGACAGAAAAGTTTAATACCATACTGTGCAGCATGTGAAAAGAAAAGTTACACAATGCACCTTTAAAACCAAAGCTAATCGATTGTCCAGCGGCTGCTCTCAGGCTTTAGTTGATCCGAAGGAATGCTTGAATTCATGTGACAAGCAATAAACTGCTTATAAACAACAAGAGACTTTTCCAGTGTGGATTTACTATGAGAATTACACTGGGTTTTCAAAGCTAGACAAATGCATTTTTTAAAGGTGCATTGCGTAACTTTTCTTGGCACAGGGTACGCCATCTTTTTTGTCTTTAGGGAGATGTTATTGCTTTGCTTGGTAAGTTCCAAAGTGCAGCATTAAAAGTCCATTCAGCTTTTGTTTCATTAAAGGTGATTTTATTGTTAAGAAATACTTTTAAGGGCATGTATTGTTGTGTGAGCAGGCACGCCGCTCCACTGAACCGATCTGTACCTTGGCCTGCTCGTCTCCATGGAGATAGACAGGGTTAATGCTTTACTGTGAAACATTCCAGGCTGAACTGTAAGTACATTTACATGCGTGTCTCTCTTGTCTTGTCTCTCTTTTTGACTTTTAATTTGGGTTCTGTCATGTTTTCTATACAACAAATAAGCTGGAACTATAATATTATAATTTATTTTATATTTTATTTTGCATATATACGCCACCAATCAAAGTCATGCTCAGGAAATTAAATCAAAACCTACAATATAAAATAATTCTAACTAAAAAAAATTCAAATTAACTATAAAAAAATATCTAAATGAACATGAAAATTAAAAATAATATTTTAAAAAGGTAATAATGAAAATGAAATAAATAATATAACATTTGTGAGTATGATAACAAAATAGAATAAAAGATATAAGAAAGATGCACGATCTAAAGTATAAAAACGAGGCCAAGAAATTATATGTAAAATTAAATATTGCAAAAAAGAAGACTATATTATGGACATGTGAAGTAGAATTATAAAAGCATGCACAATTGCCTTTTACACTTACCGGGGAAACCCTTTACAACATTGCAAATGCCACAAAATGCAGTGTTTTCTGAAACTGTGCAAGCAAGACACTGACACAACTGTGGAATCATTAACAGGAAGTTTTGTTATTTTTATTCAAGTATTGGTTAACATTTATATATATTTAGAAACACCAACTTTCTCATCCTGTTTTAGTCAAAGCTTGGCCCTGAAGTTCTGAAGTTTATAGACCTGGTTTAATCCATGGCTTGTTCTGTTTTGAAATGATAAAAATCTAAATATTACAAGAGCAGGAAGCTGAAAACATGTGAGTATGTTGTAAAATTATTTCTTATGAAGACTTGGTTTAAAATAAGTAGGTGAACACATTAATAACAGACCCGTAGTAATCCTGGTTTAAAGTGCATCTTAATCTTGGTTTAGGGCTGTAGTAATTTCCTGGAAATTGCAGTTTTAGACCTAAAATTACACTATCTTGTATCTCAGAGCAGTCTCCTTTTTGTCTTAATAGAGCAAGGTATGGTTTCATTTTGACTTAATCTTGGTTTAGGGCTATAGTAATTTCCATCCTGGCAATTCTAGTTTTAGTCCTTGACTTACATTAGCCTGTATCTCTCCGAGCTGTCTCCTCTTTGTCTTAATAAAGCAATATAACCCACAGTAGCATGTTGGTTTTCATAAATATCATCTTGGGTGCTGTTTCTAGTGCAAAGTTTGACAATAGGAGACATAAGCAGTAGTGGACAGCTCGGGTAACGCTGTCCAGTGCAATAACATGCAAGAAGAATGCTACGGTCAGCCATGCCTTGTTGTAGAAGTCCCCCCAACCCAACCATATGATAGATACAGACCCACAATGCAAACGTGTCACCATCTGTAACTCATCAATGACCCCTCGCTTTGCTCCCTTGCACTATACCGCTATATCACAGTGACTACAGCCGTGCATGCATACATACATACACATACATACTGTGCACACACGCCCACGTTGCATGCTCTCTATCTAGTCATGAATAAAATGTGTTAGCTCGGTGTATGCTGCAACGCCAGGGGAGGTAGAAGAGCTACAAGAAGGTGTGGAGAGAAGGATGGGGAAGCGCATCTGGCGTTTTTCTATCCATATCTAGCTACATGAGTAACGCTCGACAGGGGCTACAATGAAATATTTCAACACAGCCGATGAGACTTACCCATTTAGGTGTCTCTGTGTAGTGCTCTTGCAGGCTGGTGGGGTGGATAGCGTCGCTGTTAAGACTTGTTTCGCGATTGTTGGTAGTGGTAGTGGGTTTTTTTTTTTTTTAGAGCAGTGCAGCGGTGTACACGGGAGGAGCGTCCGTTGAAACCATATTCCTTCCTCTTTCTCTATATCCAGTGACACGACAGAGGGAGGCAGAGCTCACAAAACAGAAAAAAAAAGCGCAGATGAACAAAATCTCCCTCTCTCTCGCTCTGCTCTAGTCTCTCCCCATCTCGCCGCCTTCACGTGCTCTGCGTAAAATCCAAATATCCGCTCTGTTCCAGTAATAAAGTCGTATTATTTAGCTGTGGTGTGTGGCGGATGACGCATTACGCACACATTTTTTTTTACATGCGGTTGCGCTTTACAGTTGTGTACGGTACAACAATGGAAATAACAGGATATAGCGTCTGAAAACACACAATTTAGTACACAAATTAAACTATAGGCCAGTGTTTTATGTTTACGAATGATAAAACAAAACGATTTTTTTTTATAAACAAGGGTATACAGTTTTTAATGTCCCTAAATAAAGCATTACACCAGTGCCAGCATCCAAATACGCGCACCTGTGCTGCTCAAATCTCGCGATAATAACTGTAATCCTAGAAATAACCATTGTTGTAGTTTAATGAGAGGTTTACACTGTCTAAACAGCCATTATAGCAGGGGCTTTAGTTGTTGACTTTTAGTAAATATAGTCATTTATACGTCCAGTTCTTGGGCCAAGCGTGATTATATGTAGAAAATGGTCACCCAAGCTCCTTAAAGCAGAATACATATAATAATGCAGAATAATATGTCTAATTATTATGGCATAATTTTGTGTAACGTTTATAAAAATATATATAAAGTGAGATTTTCTTTGTGGATCATGCATATGTGTTAGTAATGAAAGCAAATTTTATATCACAATGTCCCACAGTAATTTGTAATGGGATTTTTTAATTCAGATGCCCTTCCAACCATCCACAACTAGGTGAATTCAGCAGACAGTAAACATAACAGCAGAACTATCAAGCTTTTCCACGTACTTTTATTGCTCAAAATACCTTGAAAAACATGAGTTCTTCCTGGTAGGAGGGTCGCTTCTCTCCACAGATCTGCCCTGTAGCCAACTCCTTGTCTCCATGGAGATAAATAAGTTTAATGCCATACTGTGAAAGATTCTAGACAAAGCAATAACATGGAGACAAGCAGTGCCCTCCACCAGAAACGTTATGCAGTGCACCTTTAGATTCCTGTGAGGTGGACCATAGAATTGGCTGAGCAGTCCAAAGGCAGAGACAGTGAAGGATGAGACAGACTGAGAATCCAGATCTGACACTGAAGCGTGGACAATGGGCCCAAGTCAAACACGATCAGATAAAGAGGAGCTGTGGGGGTTTTTCCTATGAGCTGCAGAAAAACATGAAATGAATGCAATTACAGAAAGACTTGTAAAAACACTAGGGGTGTAAGGATATCCAAGTCTCACAGTATGAACTCAAGATACATGATTTCTTGCGATATCGTGGGAAAGCTCACGATTAGGGATGTAACAATATCCAAATTTCTCTGTACGATATTTTCATAATGTTATGTATGATATTTATTGCGATATTTTGTGGAGGCTAACAAAACTGTTAATATGCTATTTTCTCCTCTTAAAATGCCTTGACAAGACTTAATCCAAAGAACTAAAACTTAAAAGTGCTTAGATCTGTTATTTCTTCTTGTAGTCTACACTGAAATGGAGCAAAGGATCATGGTCTATGTAGTTCCCTCTGTCTTTTTTTAGCTACTGCTGCTCCATAACTGTTAATTTAAGCAAAGAGACTTGTAATTCAATATATTGAGAGATATTGTGAGAACTTTGACGATACGATATCACAATACTATGTCTCTCGGCTGGCCTGGGAACGCCTCGGGGTCCCCCCGGAGGAGCTGGAGGACGTGTCTGGGGTGAAGGAAGTCTGGGAGTCCCTGCTTAGGCTGCTGCCCCCGCGACCCGGCCCCGGATAAGCGGACGAAAATGGATGGATGGATGGATATCACAATATTTCGGTTATTGTTACATCCCTAAAAACACACCTGTAATTTCCCCTGATAAGAAGCTATTGCACTGGTATATTAGTGAATCTGCAGCTTCCAGTACAACATTTACATCTACTGATACTGATACTTTGCAGGGAAATCACATTGGGGTGGATCTACTTCTATCTCTATTGGCAAAATGTTCAACAGTTACCATGGCGACACATACACACACTAGCAAAAACTGCCAAAAATGTTTTAATATAGACTGAAAACTCAAAAAGAAAATCAAAATGTATTTAAACAACACATTTTCAGAAGCCTGTGATAAATGATTTTCAACAAAAAGGTGAGAGTGACTGATTAAAAAAAAAAAAAAAAAAAAGGTCAGACTGTGTATATAAAATAAAACTCAGATTAAAGTCTAAAGTGCCTCCGGTAGCTTCACACCCACAGGAAATGTTGTAGACATCAGCTGCAAAGTATCAATATTAATAGAAAATGTGTTAAAATATTGTTGTACTGAACTTGGTTTAGAGTTCGCCCATTAACTGGACTGTATCTATGTATTCAAAATGCGCACTACCATTGTGTCACTGGGCAAGACACTTCAACCAATATTTGCAGCATCTAACACTAAAATAACAATATCAAGTTTCATTACATTTTTAGAGATACTCATCCACCTCCAACTGAATTCTTGTGGTTATGTCTTGTTCATCTGTGTGGCTAAAACAGTGGTAAAACTATATATTTATTTTGCTCCCACTAACTTTTTTAATGTGTTAATTTGACCATCATTCAACCCTCTCGGTTTCACAACGCCAAAACACTTCACATCTTGGCATCTTGTTGCTTAGGAACTGCACCACTATCTCAAGAAGCAGCGTTTCTAACCACAATCTAGTGTTTGATCATTTATTTGCAAATTTCAACAAATAAGGTCAAGTAGCAAGAAAACACAAGACTGTAACATTAATTGAAATTTCTTTAGGCTGTTTTTATTTAGGCCTATATGCTATTGCTTTGCAGCTGATGTCGTCAACAATCCCTGGGGCTGTGTGGCTCACTGAAGCTCTGTTATTCAAGTTACACTTTAATCTGAGTTTTGTTTTAACACTATTTGAGAGTTAACAATTAAAAAAAGTCTCTCTCAAATAAAATTACTGCCACAAGCTTGCAACCATTATCCATCAGTTTTTCAATTAGTCACTGTCACCTTTTTGTTGAAAATCAAACGCCTAAATAGGACATGTGTTGTTTAAACCCATTTTGCTTTTGGGCTGTTTTTGCTAATAGTTATGTGCTTTGTGTCACCATGGTAACTGATGAACATTCCTCCATAGACGAACTAGTACATGCACCATGTGAATTGTGTGGTCCTCTGTGTCTTTTTATGTTATTAAGTTATTTTTTCAGACCAAGAGTTTGTTTTCATACCTGACAGTTTCGACTGCTCACTAGCGCTCTTCCTCAGAGTGGTCTCGTGATGTTACTGTGACGTGTTCTGTCAGCTGAACGGAAATACGCAAACAGGCCTACGGGACTATAAACCAGGACGAGGGGGCTGTTTTACTCTCACACACCTGGAATACTGTCCTGAGGAAGTCAGACTGCAGATGGCGCTGTCGTCCTGCCTCCAGCGGTGGGAAGACAGCAGCAAAACCTGTTTAAATCAGATGAACAGACACGTCACAGCAACCTCATGTGAGCACTCTGAGGAAGACAGCAGGGAGCAGTCGAAACTGTCAGATATGAAAACAAACTCTTGGTCTGAAAAAGAACCTAATAACATAAATAATCGGAAGACCAAATGAACCTCATTAGACTCTGTATCTTCTATTTAATTGTATTTATTTAATTTATTTATTTTTAATTCCTTTTTTTCAATCATTTTTAGCTTTATGCATTGTAACACTTTTTATTTACTGTTTTTTATTTATGATTACGGTGTTTTATTGTATTAATTTGTCTGTGCAGCACTTTGGAAACTGTCATGGTTATAAAATGCGCTATATAAATAAAGTGGATTAGATTGGATTGGATGTAGAACCCCCCAGCGTGATGTTACTGCAAAGCCTGTCAATTACATCACAGGGTTTACAGCGGTTTAACAAAACTGTATAGAAACTGGACAAACATTTAGACATTTACATAGAAAAAATGTTAAACTAACACAGTTCTTTTAAAATACTGTAGTCTTGAGTCACAGTTTGGCTGTCTAGACTCACACATTCCCACTGAAATATTTAATTACAAGCATTTATCTTTGGCTTGACATAACCTATAATATAAATTCGGGCATATCGGCCTAGTAACAAATTTGGTAAGCCAGGGGGTAGACCACAGTGGTGAGATTAGAAGGAAAACTAACCACTCTGACACCGGCTAAAAGTAGATCGTCTGAATGGCATTTGAAGGTTTGTAATTAGCATATCAAAGTAAGCTTCATATCTGACAATGTAATTACCGGAAATGTCAGTGTTTTAAAGGATACAAGCAACAGATCCAGCAGAAATAGGTAGAAAATTATATATAGATTGATGAAGCCCACTGAATTAGGTGTCAAGTTAAATACCATATCTTACAGTGATCCAACACATGTGCAAAAAAACAATTAGTTCATAATGCAGTGTGTGTCAAGACGCTGTTACTGAGATTAATGAAGACAGAGGAGAGTAGTTTTTCCTCCTATGGTAAAAGGAATAGTTATTACACAAGCTCAAGAGTGACGCCAAGTGGTAGAAAGCTGCTATTGCACCCTGAGACTATTTTTATTCTTTCATCCCAAGAGGAGAGAAGAGCAGTTCATCCAAGGCCACTGTTTTTCACGGTTGAGTTTATCTAAAAAATTACACAAGTACAAGTAGCACTCAACTGTGTAAATATTTGGGATTTTACACCCACTTAAGAAACCACCAGCCACAAACATAACAACTAGGAATGTAACAATAACCAAAATATTGAGATATCGTATCGTCAAAAGTCTCACAATAATACCGTGGGCAGTCACAATATATCGAATTACAAAATCCTTTGCTTAAATGCACAGTTTTATAGTAGCACCAGCTTAAAAACATGAGGAACTACATATCCCATGATTCATTTCAGCGCAGACAACATGAAGTTATATGTTTTTTACTTGAATTCTTGGGATTATGATAGTAATGATTCACACCAAAATCTTGTCAGGGTATTTTAAAAGCAAAAAACTTTTCTACAATTATATCAGCCTCTCCAAAATATCGCAATAAATATCGTTCCGTGAGATGCATATCGTGATAATGAGATTTGGATATCGTTACATCCCTGATAATGTCAGATCACATGAAAAGAACTGAGTGGTTTTAAAGTTTCAGTATGAAACTTGACTGATAAAGGGTCACACTGCTCTGTTATTAAACTTTCTTAATCACTATTGCTGAATTAAGATACCTTCAAAAACATGCTTTCTGTGAGCAGCTTAAGTCGCCACCGATGACCTGTAATTTGACCTCGCAGCATCACCTGAAGACTTGGTTTAAAATAAGTAGGATTGAAAGAGATTGAAAGGATATGTTAATGCCATAATGTGGGACTTTCCAGGCAACGCAATAATATCATCATGGAGACAAGCAGGTTGGCTGGTGTTCATGGTCATTTTCAACCAGACTGGCTTCATGTAGCATAGGCCTACAAAAAAATAAAGTAGGTTATCTTAATTTACTTAGTGACCTTAACCCACATTACACCATTTTCTGAGCTATGTTGTTTCTATCTCAAAACCGTACCTGCAGCTGTGTTTTCTTTCCTTCACACGTGTCTTGTTTCACACACACAGACGCTGCATAGAGTACTTTTCTCGAACTGAAAGCACGCCATGTCATGTGTTAATACAGGATGTGCTCCACTGTGTTTTTAAACTCCACACACCTTCACTAGAATCATTTGGATGATATCAGTCCTGGAATTGCCAATCTCTACTGAATAAAAGGTAAAAAAAAAACAAAAAAACTACCACTTCATAATGTCACAAGGCGCAACAGAGCATTTTGAGCTTTGGAGAGACAAACTAATAAAACAGCATTACTCAAACATGTGTGAATGAAAAAAAACAACAACTCCAGGTCTGTTTTTGAGGAGGTAACAACATAACATGGCTTAAAACTCACAGGAGTCAGTTGTGTGTAATATAGGACCTTTACAGTTTAAACTAAAGTTCAGTGATTTTTTTATTTATTTTTTTATTTAGTTAGCTATTTGAATAGATCCCTGCCCTTTCCTACTAAAGTCACACCCTGTTTGCACTGCACCATAGGCCCTATAAATGCTACAGTACATGATGAAGTTCTGTGAAACGTTATCTTCTCAACATATCTCTTATCTGGTTTCCTGTATAAATGTTTATCATAGCTAGGGTGACCAGCTATGACATTTGTAAAGAAAATTGTTATGCACCAATATGAGTCAGTATAGTCATATTTTCTTAGCTTTTTGGTCATTTTTAAGCAGCTTTTCTGTGTTTTACCTCAACAAATGTCAATTTATACCTGTCTTAACTGTTGGGAGATAAGGGGTGACCAGATTTTCAAAATTCAAAACTGGGTCACACCTAGGTTGGGATGGTTGAAACATATAAAACTGTGAAAAGAACGTGCAACATTGTCTATTCTCGACTCACTTGTGCGTCATAATCTGAGAGACTTGTGTTGTTGTATTTATTTGCCTTACAGTCATTTTCAAGCATGGTTTTTCTGTACAATATATTCCCCCTCACTTCTGTTGCCGGGGATCAAATTGGTCCAAACACCTGGGACATTTCTTCTATAAAACTAGGACAAATCAATGGTTTTGTATGAATCTGCAGGGACAGGGGACACATGACTCAAAACTGGGACTGTCCCGGGTAGATAGGGACGTCTGGTCGCCTTACAGCTCCATAGATTCCTCAGACTTCTTATGAAAATCAATTTATACAATCTCAAATCATCTCTTGACCATGTTTTCTTATTTTAAACTCCACAAAGCACAATTGCAGCGACATAAACACGTAATTTATTGCAAAACCCCAACAGACAATTATTTTAGGCGGTTTTGCTTATTTTAGTGAGCTTTTTAGAGTCGTTTTACCTCTTCAAAGCGTCCCATTCATTGAAACATGCGCGCGCTGTATACGTGCAGAAGAGACCAGATGGGCGTGTCCGTGCGTGACTGACGTAAAAACTCAACGCGGAAGTAAGAGGACACGACCTGAGAAGATTATTCTCGTGTCACAAAACTGGTCAGGCTCTACGCGGGGGGTTCAAGGTGAGGAAAAGACATTTATATATCATATTACACGAAAAATACCGCATCAAAAACGTGCTATCTGTAATCGTTTGTATACATGTCATCGCCGGGTTATAAACTAGCTTACGCAAATGATTAGCGAAAAAGTCAGCAACGTGGTGTCATCGCACATGGCTGAATGAATGACTTTTGTGTCATCTTAAGCAGAAGTTGGTTGTTTTTTTTAAATAATTTTTGGCGCCTCGTAATTGTACAGAGCGTTCTTGAATGAGAAATCATGGCTATCCCTCGTTTCCTGCATTGATAATCGATAAATGTGAATGAATAAGCGCAAACTGAAGGCTGCGGAGGCTCTGGCGTTAAAATAAAGCGTGAAGGATTGAAGGACTATTTTTCATTAAATGTTTTGCATAGGTGTGGCTATTTGTTTCTGCTATACTTTCAAGTCATTAGGATTTGCTATACACCTAAGATTACCGTGTTAATGCTGCCAAAAATGATAATCTCCATCTTTGAATAAGGGGCATTTATCATCCAGAGCACGTTTTTACTCACCTGCCAGATGTCTGACTCATTCATGTGTTTCCCGCCAATGCTCAGAGGTGAAAACCACATTTAACCACAAAAACAAAAACGCTGTACTTCTTTGCTATAACTAAAAAGATTTTTTTAAACTTGCAAAATGACTTAATCCTTTTATTATTAGAGTGATTACATTGCTTGAAATGTTCCACAACATGACATTAAACATAGATCTTGCAGTTATTCATTACATGTGTTTAATTCACTAAAATAACTAGAAAAAAAGTTTCCTTACTGAGCTGCCTCCACACACTTGTCTTGTAATTTGGGCTTGTTGTGCCATCTGCTTGACACATTTTACTATGAAACATTCTAGGTAAAGCAATAAGAGATTACTAGGTTACAATGTCAGGTTACTAGAGCAATTTAAGTATTAATGGATTCTTGGTCAAAACACCAACAACCTCAGTATTTGCCATTATAAATCACATATACACCTGTATTTCAATTTTTAAAGACAGGATATAGACATTAAGTTCACCTGAGATTTTATGGTTACTATTTCCCAGTAATTTGTTTGGTTAAGGTGTGTCCCTTTTTCCCTACTGCAATTTGTAGCTTTGTAATTATACTAGGGCTGCTCGGTTATGGAAACAAATCATCGCAATTATTTTGGTCAATATTGAAATCACGATTATTCAAAGGATTATTTTTTTAGTTACACGATGCATTTATTCAGAATTTCTCTCTCTTAAAAAAAAGAAAAGAAAAATGTTATTGGTAATTTGCGCAAAACTTTCAAATTGAAAATAAATATAGGCTACAAATATGTACCCTAGAGCAGTTTTGCAATGTCTGAAACATAAAATAAATAAAATATACTTTGAACATGAAATAAGGCATAGAAAAACATAAATGTATCCAAAATAAGCTTTATATTCAGCTGTTCTACTATCTCTATATTAAAAAAAAATATATATATATATATACTTTATATATTATATTATATTTATATAAAAAATATCCCAAAATAAACTCGATTGCAGTATATGAGTTTGGAAATAGTTTGACACACGAAATCAGTTGCACAGCCTTAATTTATACAGTTGAAATATTCCTTTTACCCTCCACCGAAGACATTTTTCATCAATAATTGTCTAGTGTCTAGTCTCATGTGGCAATATTTAACCTTAAAGAACTTTTGTAAGACAAGTTTCCTGTTAAGAGGCTTGGTTTAACAATAGTATTTCTCAAGTATAACTTCAAAAAAGCATTACCGCTGCTGTAACTGTCACTACCAGTTCCTTCTTGTAATGAAGTGTTGCTAAACTTGCGTGTTCAGGTGGGTTGTGGTTGCATAGAAATCTGTTGTGTAGTGACAGTTAATATGGTGATTACTTTTGAAGGGAACAAAAGCCTGCGGATCTGTTTGTGATGGGAAAACAAAGCCGGACGTTCTGGTTTTGCAGATATGATCCAGGCTGGAGTCGGTCAAATGTGAAGGTCAAGGAAGTTAATATTTACAATGAAGAAGACAAGATTCCAGTCTTTTGGATTGAAGTTTTTCTTTTTTTTTTCATAAATTTATCAGTATTAATTTAAATGCATAACTTAACTCGATTGAAAAGGGGCTAGAAGGCTGCAAATCATAACTGCTCGTAGTAAGAAAGAAATGCATGTTTTCAATATAATGTAACACTATTTTAGATTAGGATTTTTTTCAAGTTTTTCATACATGTATCAGTATTAATTAAAACAAATGATAAATAGGGTTATGAGGCTCCAGCTTATATAGTAACTGCTTATAACTGTTAGGGATGTAACAATATCCAAATCTCCTGTTACGATTTTTATTACAGTATTTTGAAGAGGCTAATAGAATTTTTGAAAGGATACTTTCTGCTTCTAAAATACTTTGATAAGACTTTGTTGTGAATCATGATTGGGGATGTAGCAATAGCTGAAATACCATGATATTGTATCATCAGAAGGCTCTTAATAATATCACGGACCATCACTATATATTGAATCTCAAGTCTCTTTGCTTAAAATCATTGTTATGGTGCAGGAGTAGCTAAAAGAAACACAGAGAACTACATAGACCATGATCCTTTGCTCTGTTTCAGTTCAATTTACACAATGAAATAACTTATTAAGCACTTTAAATCTTAACTCTTTGGTTTATGACAGAACCAAAGTCTCGTCAAGGCATTTTTAAAGGAAAAAGTAGCATATTTACAATTTTGTTGGCCTCCACAAAGAATTAGTATAAATATTGTACCGTGAAAATATCATACAGAGAAATTTGGTTAGTTACATCCCTAATGATTGTCATAATCCCCAGAACTAAGGCAATAAACATATTTTTTTTATGTTGTCTGCACTGAAATGAGTCATGGGATATGTGGTTCTGTGTTTATTAGATGTTGCTACTATAAAACCATGCATTTAAGCAAAGGAACTTGTAATTCAATATATTGTGACAGCTCTCGATCTTATTTTAACGACTATCACGATATTTCGGTTATTGTAACATTCCTTATAACTGTTACTAATAATTAAGGTTTAATATTTATAGTTGCGTGGACATCTATACAATTTCAGTGTCCAGAAATGGGGCGAAAGGTGTACTTATATACTACATTTTAAACAATTATGAAATTAAGAAATGTGAAGTATCTATGATCTGTAATCTTTCAAGAGTTTTTGCAGAACGCAGCAAAATCACAAAACTAATAAAGATGAATTAAGCTTGATTTTAATAAGAAAAAACTATTTGTTGGCTAGTTTTTGATTGAAAAAATAAACTAAACAGAAATCTAACAGTTGCATAAACAACATTTTGATTTGATGGATTCGATTCTGCTAAGTAAGCATTTGTTCAGGAAGCAAAATACAAGATCTGGGACATTTGTCATCATTTCCCGTAATCTGTACCTTCGCTTTTTGCTTGTAACTCACAGTATAATTTTTATGTTGTTTTGCTTTGTTAACAGATCGTGCAGAGATGAATCGAGTGCGGAATCTGTTCAACAATTTTGTAAGTATTTCTTATTTTTTGCTGTGTAGTAACAAATTAGTGGATTTCTTGAATCTATTTATTTCAGTTGATGATGTCAAAGTTTTTTTCACCAACGTGAATATCATTTCTAAAGACCATTTGCAAATTTTTTTTTTATTAAATAGAAATTCAAAGATAACATGGACATTTGTTTGCACTGTGAATAAAATCTCAGTGTATTAGAAAGGGAAAGCAACATATTCTATTTTATTTGATTTGTCATAATTACAGAGGGAGGGCAGGGGCCTGTAAAAGTGTATCAGGGATTCTCTGTTACTGAAAATGAAGTCTTGTGACCTGACCTCAAGCGCATCTTTAAAGGTGCACTGCGTAACATTTCTAGCGGAGGGTCCGCCACTATGTTCCAAATCCATCAGAAGGGCGACAAGCAGGTGACGGCACTACTTTACATTTCAGATCTGTGGAGAGTCACCCCCATTCATAGAAGGAATTATAGAAATTATTTGACCAATAGAAATACCCATAATGAATAAACGTGGGTTAAAATGTGCAGAAGTGTTACCATGGAGACAAGCAGGTGACGGACCTTAGGGTTGGGCGGTAATACGGTATTACGGTTTACTGCGGTATTAAAAAGTAGCAACAGTATCAGTTTCATTACCGTCATTAAAAAAATCTGCAGCGCATAAGAACCTAATATAATATTGTAATTTATTGACACCTACATTTGTTTGCTCAGCACAAATTAATGTGTGGTTGTATTTTCAGTTTAATGCTATCACGATTTAAAACTAATAGTATCTATAATGTTTCTTTTAACTACGTGAGAAGATGACATTCGATTAGTTTCGTTCTGTTGTCACATGATGCTCATATGGAAGACCAAGACTAGATTGCAAGTGTCAGAAAATAACAGAGATATTAACACAAAGAAACTCAGAAGGCAGAATTCAGGGTTTTTACTCGCGGCGAGGGACAGAGGCACTGCTACAGCTTTTAACTGCCAAAGAACCAACGTCACGTATTTATTGAATCACACAGGTTACAAGAAAAAATGGGCGGTTACATTTTTCTATCACAGTAAAAAACACAGAGAATAAAGGTGTGTGTGTCTGTGCCAGTGTGTGTGTCTGTGCCAGTGTGTGTGTCTGTGCCAGTGTGTGTGTCTGTGCCAGTGTGTGTGTCTGTGCCAGTGCCTGTGCCAGTGTGTGTGTCTGTGCCTGTGTGTGTGTCTGTGCCTGTGTGTGTGTGTGCCAGTGTGTGCCAGCTGCTGAGGTGTAAGGGAGGGATGTGCGTAGGGAGGACTGTCCTTGGGGAAGATAACAGTTAATGAGAAGTTGGTTTTCCCGTGAGAAATACACTTTGAGAAATACTCTTTGATAAAATAAGACAAAGAATCATCTATACAAAATTTGAAAAGCTCTTTAACAGCAAGTCCGGTCGCAAGCGAGTTGGTTACCAGAAAAATACTTGTACTTCTGCCATTTACGTTTTACAGAAACAAAACTTAAAAACATGTGGCTAATTTGCATGAACTATAAGCACCAATAAAAACAACTCTCTTCTTGTGCTGCTGATGCGGTTCAGCTTCTGTCAGACTAAAGGACACGACTCAGTGGAATATGAGTGTTCTCTCTGTGACAGAGGATGTGCAGCTGATGGTGAGTCTGTTCTGTGTCTGTATCTTGTTGGAGATGGTTCATGTGAAAGTTTTCGGAGATTATAATTTATAATCTTCGAAAATAAATCTGCAGGTCATACACATAGACCGTACAGAGGTGCGGTTTCATAGCTTATCAAAGTCGTACTAAAACATGTTGGTAATACGGTAAAACTGTATACCCCGATTAAAATCCTGAGACTGTTTAACAATATCAAAATATGGATACCGCCCAACCCTAGTGGACCCTCTACAAGAAAAGTTGCACAATGCAACTTTAAAACTAGAAAGAGTCAAGAATGGTGTGTTAGATATTTGACAGAATATTTGACAGAAAATGGCTATGGAATTGTTTATTTGTATAGCACAATTTGTACACAAAGTACTTTACAAAATAAGATAGACATTAAAATCACAATACAAACCAAAATTAGATGTAAACCCAGTTTCTCAGTGTTTCTCCTTTTGTGTCCTTGTATTCAGATGAGCAGTGAGCGGTACAGTCGGTTCACACTACAGACGGAGCAGGATGGAGAGAGGAGGGTCCAGATGAAGATCTCGGAAGATGGGATAGACGGAGACGCAGAGGGGGGAGTCGGGGGGTCTCCAACGTTTAGACCAGCGCCACGGAGAGAGACCAAGAAGAGCCTCTGCTTCCTGCTCTTAGCCACTCTAGTCATCTTTCTCATTGGTAAGGCTTAAAGCGGCCGTATTACTCCATTTTCTGATCTCTGTTATAATGTTTCCTCATCACAAATGTGTCTGGAGTTGTGTTTTGTCTTATTCACACATGTTTAAAACACAATCCCCACATATTTAGGCTGAGTTTTTCTCTCAAACAGAAAACAATCAGAGCAGAGCATTTTCAGCTTTTGGAGACTTCTGTATACCTTTTATTAAATTATACAAGGAGCTGTAAAACTCATTATTTTTTGCCAGTTTTGAGCAGTTTTTTGTTGTTGTCCTTACAGGTTACATGTTGGCCTTCCTGATCCACGGTAAAACCAAAGCAGCGCCAAAGTGTGAGTCTGAAGTTGTTGTATTGACGAAGACGACCTCGACCCTTCTGCCTCATGAACCACAGTCCCATCTGACCTGGACTGACATCACAGACCTCCTGGAGACCAAACTCACCAGCACGGCCTTTGACCAAACCCTGAGGTACTTGGACATATTTATGCTGCAAGTTAAAAAAATAAATAAAATCATCACTCCTGTCTGCAATTGTATAAGTCAGACCAAACAGCCCTAGTGTAGTATAACAAGTAGTTCCTCTAGCCAAGATACTGGTCAAGTATGAGTTAGGTAGTATGCACTGATACTGATACTAGTATTGAATATCGGTGCCGATCCAGGAAAAAAAATGCGGTTTCTGGTATCTGTTGTATGAGTTCAGTCAATAGTCGTCGGTCAAGTTGGACTCTTTACTGACTGATGTAGCCCCAGGACGCTCATGTTTGAACATTAATTCATATAAAGCTCCTCAGTTACTTGCAGGATACATAACACATACATAAATACATTTTGTAATAACAGTGTTTTGAGGAAAAAAATGCCATTTTAATCCCTAATCTGGTATTAGTTAATATCTGCAAATATTTAAAGCTATGGAATCGGTATCAGAACTGAAAAAGCTGGATTGGTGCATCAATCTGAGAGTAAGAAAGCAGCAACGAAAACACCTGTAACTGATTTAAAAGAGATTAAAAAAAAAAATACATGGATACAAGCAGCTGGTGGATCAGAAAAGTTACCCAGTGTTACATTTATTATTTTCCCAATAAAACTGTACTTATGAGGTGCACTTCTTATTGTAGACTCAAAATCGTATTCCGTTTTTTTGTACCTGCTACAACCTTCATTATTTTATACTCATTTAAAGGTGCACTATGTAACTTTGGTTGGGGGTCCTTCAGCAGTATGACATTAAACAGATCTACTTTTACATTTATTGAATTACAGGTTTTATAGCTCAAAAACACCTAGAAAAACAGGCATTGTGACTGTAAGCGGGATTTGCTCTCCACAGATCTGACCTGTAGGTTGGTCTGGTTTTGGTCTCCATGAAGATAGAAAGGTTTAATGCCATACTGTGAAACACTCCAGACAAAGTAATAACGTCCCCATGGAGAAAAGCATTTGATGGACCCTCCACCAGAAAAGTTAAATTATTCTTATTCTTTGCAGGGAATTTGACGTGCCCTTGCGTACAGCAGGCAGCGATGGCGACACTCGTCTGGGAAACAAAATTGTGCAAAAATTCAAGGAGCTCGAGATGGATCCCTGGACTGACACCCACCACGTTCGACTGCAGACTCCAGACAAGTAAATACAAAATATGAACACAAGGATGCAAACACACTCTTACATGAATGCTTTTTGGAGAATTTAGATATAATGGCAAGTCACATAAATCAGAATTAGACTTGTTTTCTTTAATTCAAGTGCAAATAATTTTATTTTTTAGATTCACAATTACAAGACAACAAAATTGCAGCTAAAGGTCCTATATTATGGAAATGATCTCTTGGGAGCTTTAAGCCATACCTGGAGTTTTTTTGTTTTTGAGTTGGTTTATTAGTCAGTCTACATCTTCAAAGCTCAAAATGCTCTGTTCCATCTTGTGATGTCATGTACTACTAGTGGTAGTTTTCAAGTTAACAGCTACTTTTAACCTTTTGTTCAGTAGAAACTGGAAGTTCCAGGGCTGAAACTAAAACTTTAAAAATACAAAGCAATATCCTGTAATATTACCACATGACATCACAAGGAGGAACATAGTACTTTCTGTTAGAGAGAAGAAATCAGCCTAAACATGCAGGATTTGTGTGTTAAACATGATGATTTTTAACATTATTCCTAATATATAGTATACATTTTGCAATTCTGTTTCAAAATGTTTTATTTATTTGATTTTAATCATTTTCTTTCCATTCTAATACTGCTTTTTGGAACTACGAAAGTTGTAACTCACCAATACGTGACCTTTTTTTGTCTAATTCGAATATAAACACTTGGACAAAAACATCTCACAAGATAGTTTGTCTCGTGTGTGCACAAACTTGTGACAAAATTATCTTGCAACATCTCGTGGCATGAGATCTTGTACGATCCTTACTTGCTACAATTCTAAATGGATTTCAAGAACTGGCAGCTCCATTAGCCACTTCTATCTGTTTAGTACATTAACAGCTCTTTTTACATGCACATTGACTTAGTGTGGGAATAATCCATAGTTTGCATTTCCGTCTCTGCAGGGATAAACCAAACCGGGTCATTTTCGGATCAAATAACTTCAGACCAGGGGGATTTCTGGCTTACAGCGGCAATGGATCGGCTCAGGTAACTCTATACTATTCACTTGATCTTGGCCTGAGAATTAGGGTTCTGAATACACTTCTAGGACTGGGAAAGACTGACGAAACTGAAGTCCTCTTTTTTTTTTTTTTTTTTTGTTGCAGTCTTGCAGTCCACCAGAAATAAATAAAAATGTGATTTAAAGGTCCTATATTGCACAGAATGGTTTCTTGTGAGGTTTAAGCCATGTTAGAACGTTATTACCTTGTCAGAAACCTATCTGGAGTTGTGTTTTGTTTCATTCACACATGTTTGAGTAATCCTTTTATTATTAGTCTGTCTATAATTTCAAAGCTCAAAATGCCCTGCTCCACTTTGTGATGTCAAGTAGAGGTAGTTTTCAAGTTAACAGCTCCTTTTACCTTCAGTAGAGTATTTGCAGGCTCAGGAACAGTTTTTCTTTCATTTTGATAGAAGAACTCAACTTAAATATGCAGGATTTTGTGTTTTAGATATGTGTGAATGAAACAAAACACAACTCCAGGTATGTTTTTGATGAGGAAACAACGTGATGCAGACCTGCCTTAGAAAACCTTATTGGGATATTTAGGGCTGCTTATTCTTAGATTAATCAGCTAATTTTAGAAACACAAAAAGCCTATTTATAATACTACTTTAACATTGTCATTTAGTCTTTTTCTGAAACACTAGTTTTTGTTTTGTTTTGTATCTGTTGAAATAATTCTACTTTTTATGTGAACAGGGGAAGCTGGTCTATGCCAACTATGGACGTCCTGAAGATTTTGCAGTTTTGTCAAAAAACAAAATCGATGTCAAAAATAGTGTGCTCATAGTTAGAAGTGGGAACATCAGCTTTGCTCAAAAGGTATTCATATATAATCTATTCTATATCTAAATTCAGGTAAGTTTTGTAATTATTTTATTTTTTTTTTAAACATATTTTTATTTATTTTTTAAGGTGGCAAATGCTGAAGAAAGAGGTGCAGTAGCTGTTCTTATCTATCCAGACAGCCAGGACTACAAGTATGCCTCTACTGAAATCTATGGACATGTAAGTTTTCATACTGCCTCTTAAATTCTCTGTACTGACATGTGTTCATCTTATAACATTCAGTCCAGGAGAATTATTTACATTAAAATAAAAGAAACAAGAAATTCAGAATACTGTACTAAAAATACAATTATATTCCAGCTCATATTTGCTTGGATTTAGTGCATGTGCATGTAAAAAGAGCTGTTAATGTACTGTGTGTCACTTCCTTTTTCAAACCAGGAAAAGAGGAAGTGGCATTCAAACCTCTACACTAGTTTTTAGCTCTCACAAACCCCCCTGGTACATTGCTACTATTCATATGCATACGTATTTGTTATAGGTACCATATTTTCCGGGCTATTAGGCGCTCTGGATTATAAAACGTCATTAAATAGTCTATTTTCAAACTTTTTTCACAAATAAACCGCACCGGACTTCAAATGAAACAACAGTTGGATGGGTCAGTCGGACTTTGTTTGGCACGTTCACGGTGACTCTGGGCTTTGTTCAGTTGTGGCGTGTAGGGAGGATGCTGTGTGGGACCGCTGGATTGTTGGCGTTTTCGCAGTGACTCAGTTGTGGCTCAGAAAGGCACATTGCACTCGCTTTTTTCGGTTCGTTCCTCCGTTCCATTTCTCGTCGGCGTGGAGTGATGAGTGTGGCTGTGGGTGTTTTTTCGCTGCTCGGTCGCTGTCTGCTCCTTGCGTGTTTGCGTGCGCTGTGGGTGGTGCGGCTTTGTAGTTTACTGAAGTCGTGCTGGGACACCCGAGTGGATTCATGTATAGGGCGCTCTGGATTGTGGGGAGCGCGGTCGTTTTTTGATGATGTTAGAGGCTTAAGAAGCGCGTCTAATAGTGCGGAAAATACGGTAAATAATCTGACCAAAATCACTTGTTCATCAATTAATTTCACTGACTGAAAAGATGTGCAAAAAATATGTAATCTGAATTTTATCACAGAAAAAACATGCGCAAGAAAAAAGAAGAAAATTCGTTTTATGTTTTATACCACAGAATTACTCAAACATCCCTGAATCATTTAAGATTCTTGTGAGCTTTAAGCCATGTTATAGTGTTGTTACTTCCTCAAAAACATACCCATAGTTGTGTTTTGTTTCATTCACACATGTTTGAGTAATTCTTTATTACTGGTCTGTCTAAATCCCCAAAGCTCGAAATGCTCTGTTCCACCTTGTGATGTAATGCAGGGGTAGTTTTGCAGTTAGCAGCTCCTTTTGCCTTTAGTTCAGTAGAGATTGGCAATTCCAGGACTGAAATCATCCAGCAGATTCTAGTGAAAGTGTTTAAAATAATATGTGAATGAAACGAAACACAACTCCATACATGTTTGTGATGAGGAAACAACATTATAACATAGATCAAAATACACTGTAAACTGGGTGCTTTAAATAACTAGATAACATAAATATAACATTTAATTTATCTGTTTCTCTTCTCTTCAGGTGCATTTGGGTTCGGGGGATCCCTACACTCCTGGTTTTCCTTCATTCAACCACACACAGTTTCCTCCCACTAAATCTGCCGGTCTTCCCAATATTCCAGCTCAGTCCATCAACTCCCAAATGGCTAAAACCATTTTACAGTGAGTTAAATGATGGTTTCTCCTGTGCCTGTTTTACCTGCATATCCATTGATGTTTTGCAGTGACATTACTCTGGGTGTGTTTTACATGTGTCTCCAATGGTGGCATGTTTAGGAGTTGCCATAGCGATACAATGCCATTCCCCCGTTAGACACACATGTAGAATGCCCCCAGTGTGATGTGACTGTATCAATAAGGAATTTTCAACACAAAATAAGTATGATTTTGTAGTATTTTTTATTCTGCAAAGCACTTTGAATTACTTTGTGTACGAATTGTGCTGTATAAATAAACTTGCCTTGCCTAATGCTGTCATATTGTACTAGTTATAATACAGGTCAAGGCCATTCAAAACTGCTTAGGAATGGAAAATGTTTTATTTTTTTTTTCAGTATCGTTAATTTACATTCAAGTGAGTAGCTACCTGTTAAAAATGAAAAAAGACGACACTAGAACTTGCATTGATATAGAGAGAGGTTTTAATACCTAATTTCCAATGTATTTTCTTCTTTTTTAAGATATTGCTCTGTAAAAATAAGTAATAAAATTTGTCAGGGCACTGAATTCTATACATTTTTTACTATTTCAGATCGATTGGTGGGCCCATCCCTGGTGGAGACACTGGTTTTGTTGGTGGTGACACTACTTTGTCCTACGCTCTGGGAGGAGTTGAAAACATCACAGTTGAAGTGAACAATGCTCTGGTCTTCAAAGAAATCCACAATGTTTTTGGAGTCATCAAAGGCTTCGTTGACCCTGGTAGGTCCAGTAGTCTGTGTTATAAATTTCCTGGTATAACTCTTAGTTCAGTAACTGATCATTTAGTTCAGGCGTTTGCAGGGTTTGTGTGTTGAACATGTGTGAATGAAACAAAACACAACTCGGTGTATGTTTGTGATGAGGAAACATGATATCTTACATCAGAAAATAGCATAATATGGGTGCTTTTAAGTAATTTTTTGACTGAATATTGTTGGGACTTTACATTGTTTTTATTTTGTATTCACTGTGTTATATTTGCGTATGAATCCACAGATCGTTATGTGGTCCTGGGAGCACAGAGGGATGCCTGGGGTCCAGGATACGCCCGTGCCACCGTAGGGACCGCCACACTGATCGAGCTCGCCAAGGCTATACGAGACATGGTGGAGAAAGGTAACAACTTATTATAAAGTGAAACTTTGCAATGTTTTCATTATTACAAAATGTATGCCGTAATTTGCTCGTGAAACATGTGGCAAAGAAAAACTAATGTAGGAAGGCTAAATCAAGAGCAAAACTAAACTAACTATAACTAAAGTGGGATTAAAGGACCTGTACCTGATTTTTACTGTTTTAAAATGACATAATTCTGTTTTTCATGTTTTTAAGTGGTTTTCAGTGGTTCGAGTTACTCCCACTTACTTTGTAACAGGAAAGATAAGAACTAGTGCGCTAAGGTACTTGTTTTGACCTTGAGAGCTGCTTGCTTAGACAATGTATCTACAGGGTACAGGGCCTTTTTTAATACAATTTTTTATATTTATAACAAACTATTAAATTCTGTAAAATTAATACTTTGTACTGTTCAAATATTTATTATTGATTATTGCGTGAGCCAGCCTTGTTATTTTTGTACATGCTCCTGGAAATGTTTAAAATGTGAACTGTAAACTTGTTTGGTAAAAATTCAATAAAAAATGTTTTTGGTTTTTTTTTCAGATGAATTTAGACCTAGAAGAAGCATTGTATTCGCTAGCTGGAGCGCTGGGGAGTATGGCAGTGTTGGTGCTACTGAGTGGCTTGAGGTAGGATTGCTTTATTTATTTAAAGGGCCCATATTGTACTTGTACTTGTGCTGTTATAATGTGGTTTCCACGTCACAAAGAACCTGGAATTGTGTTTTGTTTCGCTCGCACACGAGTTCTTCTCTCAAAAGGGAAACATTTTGTTTCACCTTGTGATGTCATGTGGTAATACAGGAATTGCTCAACTGTGTTTTTAAACTCCAACACACCTTCACTACAAAACTTTTGTTTGGTTGTCAGTTCCAGGGCTGAAATAATTAACCAAACATAAAAGGTTCTGTTAACTTAAACTACTGGTACATGACCTCACAAGGTGGAACAGAGAATTGTGAGCTACTCAAACATGTGTGAATGAAACGAAACACAACTCCAGGTAAGTTTTTGATGAGATAACAACATGATAACATGGTTAGAGGTAGTTTTCATATATAGGACCTTTTTGAAAGGTTTGTTTTTTATTAGGAGTACAGTTAAGTGTTTAAAATCTCAAACATCTTTACTGTCTTGTTTCAGGCTTACACCTCTTCACTTGACAAAAGTGTCTTAACCTACATTAGTTTGGATGGGATTGTCCAAGGTAAACACCCACACTATTATTACATTTGTCCAAGTAAATTTGATAGTTTGTGAATTTTACATGAAACTATGTATTTTTTTTAGGTATTGGGAGCTTTCGTGCCTCAGCCAGTCCTCTTCTCCAAAATATTCTCGACAGTGCCATGAAATCGGTAACAGCCTTTAAGTGTTTTCCACAGGTTTATACTCAGACTATGGTGGTACAAGCAAGCATGTTATACGTCTATAAATGAATGAAATGTGAAAAGTGAGACCAGCCTCTCAAACTACAAAACAAATTTATCTATGGGTACAAATAAAGCAGCCTAACCTCATTGCCTTTACTAAACAAAAAAAAAAACAATGATTACTGATTAAAAATATTTACTTCTATTTGTTTAAACTTCATGCTTACAGTGTTATCATATTAGATTTTTTTTGCTAAGATGGTTTTCAGACTATAGGGTGAAAATTAGACCATGGGGGGCCACCATAGTCATCTCTGTTAATTGAAAACACTGAACTTTTTAAATTGCTGCACATTTCATCTTGTAATTTCATATAAAACTGAGTGTGTTGTCTCTATTTTGACACAGGTGAAGAGTCCCACTGGTGAAAAATCTGTGCACGATATGAAGTCTACCAACCTGTAAGTCAATTAAATCATACACAGATTACCTAAAGTTGTGATTTTTTTTTTTTTTTTTTTTTTTTTTGAAGGTCCTATATTTGGCAGAATTTACTCTTGGGAGCTTTAAGCCATGTTTGAACGCTGCTACCTCCTGAAAAACATACCTGGAGTTGTATTTTGTTTCATTCACAAAACACAACTTCTGGTTTGTTTGTGATGAGGAAACAATAGGATAACAGATCAGAAAATAGTGTAATATGGGTCCTTTTTAATCTGTAAAATTGTATTCTAACTTCATAATATTGTCAACAGGATGCACCCCATGTCCATGGACGACCCAGCTTATCCTTTCCTGGCCTCCTCTGGAATCCCCTCAATCTCCTTCCAATTCACCTCTCAGCCTGTAAGTAAGAACCTGCACCCATGAATGCATCCGTCTTTTGTTCCTGCCTTTTGAAACCACAAACTCAAAAGTTCAAATAAGGCTAACAGAGAAGACTTGAGCTGGATCTCTTGAATCAAAAAATCCCTGGGTGCTGTAGTAAGAATTCATAATCAGAATTCAGAATTAACCTAATTTAGTGGGATAATACCTAAATATAAACAGTTGTATGCCAGTCAAGAAGCAGTTTGTGAAGAAAAGTATGTTAAATTACAGAAAGTTGTTTGAGTTTTTTGTTTTAAAGGGTTCCATATTTAAGACATCGCACTAGGGAGAATTTTGTCAAAGTTTTCACACAAAAGAAACACGTTTTCCTGATAGGTTAAACCTGATTTCAACAAGATAAAGGTGTTTTCTTACATTTTTTTTTGTCAAATATTAATCTCCGTGTACATTACAGAAGTTTTGGCCCAGTGTACATCATGGTTGCTAGGTAACAGTTGAATGAAATTTCCTAGCTGGATGTCAGGATTTCCAACCAGGAAGTACAGCTTGGGACCAAAAAAAAGCTTGCCATATGGTGAAACGTTTCAGGCAATAAACTCTCCCTGGAGACGAGCAAATGACAAACCCTCCACCAGAACCAATTACAACTGCATATCTCCAAGACAATAATTATGATATTATCAATGTTTTCGATATATCTCCTGCCTCTGCTTAAAGGTGCATTGCGTAATATTACTAGTGGAGAGTCTGCCACCAGCTTGTCTCCAAGGAAATGTGACTGTTTTGTCTGGAATGTTCCACAGTATAGATTAGACCCATCTACCATGAGGAAAACAAGCAGGTTACAACACTACATTACATTACAGTTCAGATCTGTGGAGAGTCGCCCCTATTCACAGAAAGAATCATTGTATTTTTGACTGATAGAAACATCTGTATATGAATAAATGCTAGATTTATGTTTATTGTCATACCATGGAACAGTCCAGGCAAAGAAAATGACATCTTTATGAAGACAATTACCATATTTTTCAGACTATAGGTCACACCTTCCAAAAAATGCATAATGAAGAAGAAAAAAAACACAATTTGCATTTTTTGGGGGAAATTTATTAAATTTATTTTATATCAGGAAGCGCCATTTCATCTTGAAAGGCAAGTTATAGTAATAACAATAGAACAGAGGAGAACTGGCTTTTAACGTCACATATGAACAGTTCTTCAGAAAACTATAGCACAAACATCTCACTCCAAATCACTAAATCCATTGAATTCTTCATCCTCTGTGTCACTTCTTAGCAACTCTGCGAGCGCGAGGTAAACAGAGCGCCACTTACTCTTCTGCATAGCTCTCATCAGTCTCAGCATCAGTTCCAGTCAGAATTATTCCGGCCTTTCTGAACCCTGACAGGATGGTTTCTTTTGTCACTGAAGTCCAGACTTTGCATGGTGCACTCTTCCGATTACTGTGAAGCTGTGTTCTCCATCTTCGCCTTTCGCCAGTCCCTGACAAGTTTCTTACTCACTCCAAACTTTCTTTCTGCTGCTCGATTACCATTCTCGGCTGAATGTTTCACTACATACAGCAGGACAGAGGCCCTTTCTGCAGGAGACATGTGCAGTAGAGGACGGAGTGACAGTGGTACTGGAGTAATAGGAGTAGCAGATGGTGCACAAGTCTAAAGTGTCCTCTCGCAGCTGTCGGTCTGAAAATTTCAATATATAAGTTGCAGAACCACCCAAACCATGAAAAAAGTGCAACTTAGTCTCAAAAAATATGGCAGGTAGCGGAACCTTCTCCAGAAAAGTTACACAATGCATCTTTTAAACAAATCTTTCCTATGCTTGCAGACTGATGAGTACGAGTACTACAATACACTTCTGGATAGCAAGGATCACCTGGACTACGGGACGTCCCATAAGACCTCCTCCGTTGTTGCTCTAGCTGCGCAGCTCGCCGGTCACATGGCCCTCAGGCTGGTTCACAGTCACCTGCTCCCCTTTGAAGTCACCGGCTACAAGAGACTCCTCAACAGAAAAGTGTACCAAGTCAACAATCACGTATCTGAAGTTGTCAAGGTTAGACTTAGTTTTAAAAGTCCTGTATTACACTAAATGGACTCTTGTGAGCTTTAAGGCATGTTTATAATCTTCTTAGCTCCTCAAAAACATACCGGGAAATGTGTTTTGTTTCATTCACACATGTTTGAGTTAGTCTGTCTACATCTCATCAAAATGCACAGTTCCACCTAGTGATATCATGAAGCGGTAGTTTTCAAGTTAAGTTACCTTTTACTTTTATTTTTAGTGAAGCTGTGTGGTTTAAACATATCTGAATGAAACAAAACAACTCCAGGTATGTTTGTGATGAGGAAATATTGTAACATAGATCAGAAAATAGTCTGTAGTGATTCACCGATACTGATACTGGTATTAAATATCAGTGGCGATACTGAAAAATTTTGCTGGATCGGATATCGACTTCCAAATATCAGTTCAGCTGATATCCTGGTTGCGTATGAATCTATGTACTGTAACCATTTACTGGTTATAACTCACCCAGATATGTTTGAGCTTTTATTTATACAAGTTCTGTAGTTTCTTGGGAGATAAATAACAGCTACATAACACATTTGGATCAGTTTTGTCTTACTGTATTTTAGTTTTTTCAATCTGCACTGGTATCTGTTAATATCAGGGATGTGCAGATGATTCTGAAACTATAGCTTTGATATCAGAACTGAAAAAGCTTTATCGGTGCAGTTGTCTGTTCAATATCTGTAATCAGTTAAACATGAAATGCTCGGAATAATGCATCGCTTGCATTATTCCAAACGATGCATTATCAAGCATTGACTTTCACTAATATACTTTGTGAATCCGTTTTTCCTGTAGTCTGGGCAGCTGCAGGATGTGAGCACTAAATGGCTGTTTCGAGCTCAGTCTTCATTCCAGCGCGCGGCCGACGCCCTCGACAAAGACATCAGAAACACCGACCTGAGCGACGCCGAGGCCTGCAGACTGCTCAACGACAGGATCATGAGGGTCAGACTCTACACACATCTCATAATATTATTATTATTATTATATGGTGTCTTAAAGGTCCTATATTAGTGAGCTTTTAAGACATTTTTTATATTACTAGGGCTGGGTATCATTAAGAAATTGTCGATACGATACATAGCTCGGTACATAGACCTCAATAAGATACGTTTTTCGATACAGTGCACTTTCAATTCAATATGATTCGATATATTTCAAATCGATTCGATACAGTTCAGTGAAAAAAGGCAAACTCATGGCTGTGATACTAAAAGTTCGCTAAGTTTGTGCAAAGTTAATATGAAAAGCACCCATTTTACTCATCAAAACAGTGAAAAAGTAATTTAGTAAAATATACTAAAAATTACTTTTGGCAATATGTATCATCAAATTAAACAAAACGATATCGATATTTCAATATTTTTGCACACCCCTAGTTACTACCTCCTCAGAAACACAGCTGGAGTTGTTTTGTTTAATTCACACGTTTGACTAATCCTACGTTTTTACTATAGATATTTCCGAATCTCAAAATGCACTGTTCCACCTTGTGATGTCATGAAGTGGTTTTCAAGTTAACAGATACACTTCACCTTTTTTACCCCATGACATCACAACGTGGAACCAAGTGTTTTCTGAGAGAAGAATTCAGCCTAAATATGCAGGATGTGTGTTTTTAAACATATGAATGAAACAATACACATCTCTGGGTCTGTTTTTGATGAGGTACTAACATTATAACATAGTTCAGAAAATGGCATAATATAGGCCCTTTTAAAGTGCAATGTGTACTGTAACTAGGAGTAGAGGGTCTACCAGATGTTATTGCTTTGTCTAGAATGTTCCACAGTATGACATTAAACTGTCCATGGAGAGAAACCACCAGACCAAGTTTCAGGTTAGATGTGAGGGCAGGAAATCTCACTCAGTAAAAATGTAATAAACTTTGATAAGATTGCCACAAATGCTAAAACATATCAAATCAATAATTTTCATGGAGACAAACATGTGCCGGAACCTTCACCCTTTATTTTACATTTTTAAAAGAAATATTCTCACTGTATTACATTTGTTTTACTTATAAGGTTTCTTTTTTTTTTTTTTTGCTCGATCTTAAATGAGTTACAATATAGCTGAATATCAATGTCACTTCTTGTTTCACTTCACTATTTAGTGCAGAAAAATATAACAAACATCTGCTCTTTGGGATGGTTAACACTGTGATAGTTACAACTGTCTCTTTTTCCAATACAGATCGAACACTCCCTCCTCTCCCCCTACGTCTCCCCTCTTGAAACCCCCTTCCGCCACCTGCTGTTCGGAAAGGGCCCTCACACGCTGGCTGCTATCGCTGAGATGACGGACATGAACCAGCTGCACACTGAGCTCGCGCTGGCCACCTGGAACATACAGAGTTGTGCAAACGCTATGGTGGGAGATCTGTGGGAGATTGACAATGAAATCTAATGTGAGTGTTTGGGTGTAAGAGTGAACTACTATGAGCTTACAAGCACTTAAGCACACAGCAAATAACTTGAAAGATTACAAGGAATAAAGACGCGCTCTGTGACTTTTCTGGTGGAGTGTCTGGCACCTGCTTGGCTCCATTTAGTTGTTAAAGCTGCCCCTGGAAAGTCCCACAGTATGGCATTTATCTTCATCAGTCTTGCATTTGTTCAACTACAGGTGTTTTTGAGCAATGAAAAACATGGTCACCTCTTCACAGATCTGACCTATAACTTGTTTATCTCTCTAGAAACAAGCAGCCAGGCCAAAAATAATATCGTGGGACATTCAGGCAAACAAGAATATGGAGAGAAGTAGGTGATGGACCATCCACCAGAATCACAAAATCTTTAAACTACAAAACAAAACTCAATTTTATAGTTTAAATGATAAGAATAAATGAAAGTCTAGTCAAAGCTTTTGCGGGTGAACTCTTGGCATCCACGCACTGAGGTCCTTTATATTTAAGTTGCTTTATCAGTGGCAGTGTTCACTATAAAGATTTGTCTTTTTTGACATTATCGGAAGCAGTGCCTTCCATAATTATGACGGTTATACTGTCTCATTCTACAGCAGCATCTGCTACAAACGCCATAACAACGGGCTGTGTTGGCTGAAAGGATGGATTAATATTGTGTTGAATTTCAATATGATTAAATGGCAGATACAAACAAATTCGAACTTACGCAACAGACTACGCAACATGGTACCAAAAAGCCAAATAATTGTTAATGTCTGCCTGTAATAAATATTTTAAAACGGTTATTATAAAAAAAAAAGCACTTGACAAGCTAAAACTATTGTGAAAAACAACACAAAAAAAATTTAACAATATTTAACATGAATGTATTTAATATTTATGATGCGAAAAATGGCTAAAACGTGATCTAAATGTTACCATGCGTTACCAAATCTCCCTTTACGGCACTCCAGAATCCACAGATTGGTTGGTTAACATGACAACCATTTTTGTTGCACAGTTTTTTTGGAGCAGTTAAAGTAATCGGGAGCAGTGCCTTCCATACTTGAACCATTATCGGGGGCAGTGTCTCCCATAATGCAATGCAGTGATGGTAGTTTTTGTCTACCAGTGTTTGTGTGTGTTTTTTATTTTTGTTGTGTGTGAATGTAAAATTGTGTATTTATCGGGAGCAGTGCCTCTCATATTTCACTGAAGGGTGGAACAACTTTTCGGGGACAGTGTTTCCCCAGGGTTTTATACTTGATATATTTATTTTTTTGGCTTTGTTTTGATTCAAGCTGTGTGTGTCATTGCATAATAGTTGTCTAAGAGTATAATCTTTGAAGCAAGATTTCATTATTTCAATTTTTGCTACTATAAGAAGTCGTGCCGCAACGTTCAAATAACTTTTTAATAATTCTGAACTGAAATAGCCTGACATGTACCTCAAATCTTGCTTCACTGAACAAACCTTAGACTTCAAAAATATCTGCTTTCTTTTCTTTTTGTTACTTGTGCAAAGCTTGCGTCATAGGTCATCCTTTCTGTACCGACCCATTCTCAAAACACTGGATTTCAATACACTGTAGTCAAGATACTGTAGTTGCCTGCTTCAGTTGCTACATGAACTTGCATTGTGCTGATAGGCTTCAAATAGGTCAAAATTCTCCCCTTCCCCAGTTTCATTTTACTCACTACTGCTTTGCTTACTTATTCCGGTTTGTTGCTGTTAACTACATGTTCATTATAGACAGACAGGTGACTTGCGTTTGCCTATAACTGCAATTTAATCACCTGTTCGTCAACATATTTTATTTGTCAACATCTTCTTGAAATGTTCATGTTCTATTCACATCCTGCTGAAAACGGTAATAAACACTTTTGCTTCTCATGTTTTTGCTCTTATTAAGTGAAATCATTGTAATTTATTGGCTATTCTTTCCTTTTGCCTTAATAAAACTAAGCAAATTGTGCATGTTGAATATGATCGATATTAAATTTGTTTTAAAATGCAGGTAGTAGCCAGGACCACATAACTGAAATGAATATTGTATAAATAATAGGGTGACCAGCCTATCCAAAACCAGTGATTTGTCCCAGTTTCACACTAGAAATGTCCCAGATGTCTGTATTTTTGACCAGTTTGATATGCACCATCACTAATGAGGGTCATGTCATTTGTTTAGTCAATATACATAAAACTGTGCGTAAGTTACCAGAAACAAAAAAAAATTACTCTATTGCACTGATAGAAGTCTCCCTGGATAATACAGATTCAGGTGAGTGCCTAATAATATTTTTTATTGCATACTTTTTCAGTTTTATTATCATAAATCACCCCGAGCTTGGTGTCTCAGTTTTAATGTTTTAAAATCGGGTTACCCTGCTAAATTATATATATATATAGTCTTCTAATAGTATATGCTCTTGATTATGCATTTATAACATGTTTTTAGAGAGAAAGTTAGAAATATACCCTATTGATCCTCAGGGAAAGTCAAGTTCATATTATAACTTTCAAATTCATATAGAAGTTCTGTAGATAATGCATAAATAAATTAATTAAATGGTAAAAGTACACTTCGATGGGTTGAAGTAAGGGTTTCAAAATAAAACGGCGCTTTTACTTTGAAAGGACCCACCCGCCTCACTCTACTTCCGCCGCGCGTCGTGAGTTCACGCACGGTGACGCTCGCCGTAAATCTCGCAGACGCTCCTTCTGAAGCGACCAGAAATTACCCGGAGAGGAGCGGAGGAATAACGGACTACAGTGAACCCTTCCCCGGGCAACACATCAGCTTTTACCCCCGGTGATCAGCTTCGGGGAGCGGGGGAGAGGAGCGAGAAACGAGCGGAGGAAGAACAGACTCCATCCCAGAGCGTTGTAGGTGGGTGCTAAGGTTTATTTTTCCCAGGCGATGGACGTGTTGCTCTTTCGCAGAATGGATGAATAATGAATAAATTATAAACCATGCTAGTATAGGCTCTACTGTGCGGTTATTTCGTCGTAAAAGGTTATAAATAACAGTAGTGGGTCTGGGACAAGCAGGTGTGTGACTGACGTGACTGCAGCTAATCAGCTTTACATCCAGGAGTCAGTGCAGCAATGTTAAGTGACCGCGTTATCACCTGTTTGTTGTGCTACTTTAGGCTATTCTTATCTATTTTGAGTATGTTAAAGCTGAATTAAGTGACAAATAATGGCCACACATTCTGTCATTTCTGGTGAATGAATGTCTTCTTCACTGTACAAAGATTTCATAGTGTGGAGGCCAGGGGTGTGCAACATTTTTCCTCTGGTGAGCTCATTTAGAAAACGAAAATGCCAAAGAGCTACTTATTTTAGCAGTCAAAGGAAACTGAGAAAATTTAGGAGCCATTAGGGGTGTAATGATATCTAAGTCTCACGATATGAACTTCACGGTATGATATTTATTGCGATATCGTGGGAAAGCTCACAATATTGTGGGGAGACTCACGGTATTACAATATTATACGTAATAACAAGACTGACATTATAAAATACTTTGACAAGTCATTTGGTACAACATTTATTGCCATATTCTAGCAATCTAACAATATCCAAATCTCACAGTACAATATTATCATGATATGCCTCTCACATTTTGTAGAGACGGGACACTTTTTTGTTTTTAAAATATCTTGACAAGATTTTGGTGTGAATTATTTCCATCATAATCCCAAGAATTCAAGTAAAAAACATATTTCTTCGTGATATCTGCACTGAAATGAATCATGGGATATGTAGTTCCCGATGTTTATAAGCTGTTGCTACTGTAAAACCATGCATTTAAGCAAACTAACTTGTGATAAGATGTATTGCAATGGCCCACGATATTACTGTGAGACTTTTGACGATACAATATCACAAAATCTTGGTTATTGTTACATTCCCTAGGAGCCATGGCAAGCAAAAAACATAAACCATTATTTATTAGTGCACAAGTTAGGCATTAAAATGATACATGTACAATGGTAATTAATCAGATTTTAGTTATTCAGCTTGCGAGCTACAGGTTGGAAATCCCTGGTGTTGTCTATCTATTAAAAAGTCAATTGTAAGATGAAATACTTGCTGATTTGCATTTGCCTAGAATAGACTAAAACGTACAAAAACATGCTTCCTAACTGTGAAAGGCTTGTATTTTCACAAACCTGATTATATTTGTCTAAGGGGAGGACTTGTTTTTCCATGGAAATGTTGTTGCTTTGGCTGTAATATTCCACATTACGGTAGAAAACATCTCCATGAAGAATGTTCCAAAGTATGGTTTAACTTTCTTTTTCCATGGACTCATGCAGTTGAATTTCCACATCCAGAAAGTTGCATAATCTCACTTTAATTAGGATAAAAATGGCCTATTGATTTGATAGTTGGCGTACACTTTTTCTTTCTTTCTTTTTTTTTCTTCATCCTCATTAGTTATTATCACAGCAATTTCACATAGACATTTAGACAGAATTACAGAATGTTCCTTAAATTTGACCTGTTTTGCCCAAAAGCTTTACCACATTTTTTTCTAGATTCCACTTTTGTACAATTAGCCTAAATAAGTACATTAATTGTGCAGTGTGTGTTAAGAATTGCCTAAGTGACCACACATGGACTTATATTAAAGTCAATTCAATTAACCCATGTGTGTCCCATTGTATTTGGGGACCAGTGGATTCATTCAGTTCATTTATAAGAAGGAAGTTAACCACGCCCCCTAAGAAAGTGGAAAGCAACTGAAGGGTTTTTGTGGTTAATTTAAGTTTCCATTGAGCTCGATACTATCAATGGGCACAAACATGGCCGGATGTAGATGAAGAATATGCTATTTGTTAGTGTGTGAATATGTTTTATTTTGATTAAATAAAGGAAAAGGAAGTCCTAGTGTTTCCTAATGAGGTCCTGACAGATGGCGTTTCCTCCCTTTTGAAAATTCACTCAAAACATTTGTGGATTTTTAAGACAGATTTCACTCCAAACAATCAAATCTTTTGTTCAGTAGAAATTTCATAGTCAAATCTCATGCTTTTCTCCTTTGAAATGTTATTGCTTTGTCTGAAATGTTTCACAGTGGCATTCAATCTTTTTATCTTCAAGGAGACCAAGTTGCAGGTCAGATCTGTGGAGAGGCAACCCCGCTCACAGTCAGAATGCCTGATTTTTTTTAGGCAATTTTGAGCTGTAAAACCACCTATAATTGAATAAATGTCATATTGTGGATTATTTCAGGCAGAGCATTGACATATCCATAGAAACAAGTTACACAGTGCTCCTTTTATTACATTTTAAAAATTCTAAACCTTGTAAACATTTATTATTGCAGACGAGAACATGCTCAGATTGTAGTGTGTATGTTTGAGTCTAGTTTGTCTCTGTTGGGTTTCCAGATCCTGTCCAGTCTCTCACCTCTCGTACAGTTTTCTCAGCTTTAGGTATTTATTTGCTCAGTCTGCAGCGGTCCACACTGTCTCTGCTGGGATCTTTTGAAGGGACAGATGGTTTTCTTTGGAAATTTTGCAGGCTTTGGATAAGAAAAAAATTCAGTAAAGCAGTTCCTATTGAAATTAATAATTGATTATACCACATTTGCTTTTTATTAATTTATATAATTCTTATTATTAATACTTTGCAGCTGATTTCATTCATTCATTTCACATTCCCTGGGAGTGTGATGCTAAATGTAGGCACTGCTCTGTCTGAAGCTCTGTTACTGAAGTTAGACTTTATCTGAGCTTTGTTTTAACACAATCTGACCACAAAGAACTGACTGATTTGTGCTGTTAAACAAGTTGCTCTCACTTCATCTTTCTGTTGAAAATCAAACACCTAAGCAGGACCAAAAACGCTCGTATTGAGCAGAAGCTCCTGAAAATGTGTTATTTGAATCATTTGAGTTTATAGACTTAATCTTAAAACCATAAACTGTATATGTAACTCCCCAGTTCCCACTGTCCCGAATTGAGTCGCTCTGCCCCCCTGTCCACACCGTACCCTCCCCAGATGGTAGACCTATTTGTGGGGGAAAGTCCAGGGCTGTTTTTTAGTCCCAGTCCGTCCCTGGTGGCGCTGAACGCTATGGGTGACGTCACACTCGCTTAGTCCACTTTTTTATACAGTCTGTGCTTAAAACTTGTTGTCTGTGTTTGCTAATGTGTGCATTGTGTCACCATGGTAACTCCTAAACATTTCACTATAGAGGCACATGCAGAACACGAGCATAAGCATAATATCACTTCAAAGTATCAATCGGTGCAATTATGTCCCAGTCTGTTATGAGTTTTACCTGTGTTATAATGGCTCCTTTATACTACACTGCAATAGTATTCTGAAATAGTACATAGTTGTGAAAATTCTTCGTCAAACCCTCACAAACGCTCTCTTTGCTTTGCAGGTGTAGTGCATTCTTTCCGTCCATGGCGTCGTCCAGGTGACCTCTGGTGAACCACAAACCCTCAACACGGTGAGACATTTTTTGAGCCTAAAACACTCTCACATTTTTATTTCATTTGTTTCTAAGTGCATGTTTTAATTTACTTGAAGAGGATGTAAAATTTTGGCTGTTTTAATGTTATTTTATCAGTATAAGAACCTACACTTCGAAAACTAAAATCTAGCCAAGTTCAGATGACTTGAATTAAGAAAGTTTTATCATGATGTGAGTAAATTTGACTTGCCAAGTAAAATGATCTACAAATGGAACAAGATGTTTTGTAGTGAAAATATGAAAGTACATCTTGCTACACTTAAGCTAAGAAAAACAACTCTTTGCAGTTAAAATAAGCACAACTAAATCAACAAATCGAAACAACAAAATCAAATACTACTTGACTTAAGAAAAACACACTTATTCCATTGGTAAATAATTTTGCTTGTCAAGTTGAATCTACTCAAATAAAGTAAAATAAAGTTCTTAATTTAAGTCATTTTAACTTACCTAGATCTTTCTTTTTGCTGTGTAGTTTAGAATCGAGTACCATCTTGCAGATATTTTTTACATACAATACGTTATCAAGAAATTAGGCATCGTGTCTTTAATAAAATGTGCTCTATAATGTGCTATATATAAAGAGGATTGCATTAATACATTATATAATATATTATAAGTATTAGGATTTTGTTTTGCCCCAAATATAACCTTTACCTTTAGCAATTTGAGATCACAGTTTGCAAATTTTGACAAAGAAAATTATGAAAAATGTATTATTTAATCTGAAAAGTAAGTTCATTTCTGGCAGTAAATAAAAAATAACAAATAAAAATATGACTTTAAAACTTGTAATTATGACTTTTTAACTCGTAATTATGACTTTAAAACTCGTAATTATGACTTCCTTTGAGGCTTTTATTCTTTATTTACTAGCAGAAATAGGCTTACTTTTTAGGTTAAATCATTTTTAAATACATTTTTCATTATTTTCTGTCTTTTTACTTGATGACGAAAATGGGCTTCCATAGAAAAGTCTACACAGAGAACACATCAACTAAATTCACAGGAATACTAGACTCAGCATTGTTCGTTTATTGCACTGTATTGCATCATTTAGTGAATAATATTTATCATTCCAGCAGTGGTGAACCTGCACGTAGAAGCCTAATGCTAAATAGACTATAAAGCATTTGTTTTCACCTCAATACACCACTCTCTATCGCTCTGGGGCTAAAATTAGATATCTATTTTTAGAGCCACCCAGTCATGATAAAACATGAGAGAGAAAAGAGATGAAAGTACAGATTTTATGGTTTGTTGGATGTTAAAGAGCCCATGGTTCTGATCTGTGTTATAATGCTGTTTTCTCATCATATACTTGTACATGCCTGGGGTTGTGTTTTGTTTTATTCACATATGTTTAACGCACAAATGCTGCATATTTTAGGCTGAGTTCTTCTGTTTTTAAACTCCATACACCTTTGCTAGAATCATTTGGATAATTTCAGCTCAGGAAATGCCAATCCCTACTGAACAAAAGGTAAAAGGAGCTGTTAATTTGTTGTGGAAAAGAGCATTTTGAGATTTGGAGATGTAGACAGACTGCGGGATTACTCAAACTTGTGTGAATGAAACAAAACACAACTCTGGGTATGTTTTTGAGAAGATAACAGAGTTTTATCATGGCATAAAGCCCACAAGAGTACATTTTGTGTAATATAGGACCTTTAATAAATGCTCAAAAACAGAACGTATTAAAACCTTTATTATATTATTTGTCGTAATGTTTTAAATCTGTGATGCTGCCATAACCCAATTAATTGCCATAACCCAGTTAAATCACAAATGACCTAGTCCTAGATTAAAAGAACACTGTGTGCAACTAAAGATCTTGATTTGAAAGAATATGCTAGCAGTTGTATTTTAGATAAGATATTAGTGGTTGTTTCTGCTTGTGAACTTCTCAACAAAATAAATATACTTTGTTTTTGTCTTTGCCTGTAATGTCTATGTATGTATGGCAATACTATGTTACTACTGACTACTACTACTGATATGAACTGATGAATTACTGATGTATTACTACGATTATTATGTTTAATTGTTACTGTCTGAAATCTAATTTACTTCAGGATCAATAAAGTATCTATCTTTTAAATTCATCTGTCTTGTGTTACTTCGTTACAGTCATGTAGCTGGATATTTTATTGATCCCGAAGGAAATTCATTTTTCAGCAGCAACAATGAAATATAATAATAATACAGCAGTGTTTCATAATGTTTAGAGATGCACTGTACAGCCCGATGGCGTGTGGAAAAAAATCTCTGCCACGATAACACATTTTGAAGCACTATATATTGCTCTAGATGTTTACTACAATAAACAATAATACTAAAACTACTTTATGGCACTGACACAATTAAAATAAAGCAGTATCATTCCGGTAAACCATTTTTAATATACTGTAGCATTAAAATGCATAAGGTACATTAACTAAATAGGAGAATTAACCAATAACTAGTGATAGAAGTGACTTATTCAACTATCTGCATCTCAAATTGTATCATATTTCAACATAAAATACCCCAAATCTCCACACTTTTGCAAAATAAAATTGTACATATGATAAATCTTGAGCCCCTAAATTGTTCCTTGGTTTCATTTATTGCACGATAAGTCGATACAGTAATTATTGTGACCTACAGCTTTGTGTGTTTTAATGGTTCTATACCTTGAAAATATGTATTGTTCTTATGTCATCTCCTTGTCTCAGTGGATATTGATGAGTTTAATGCCATACTTTGGAACATTCCAGGCAAAGAAATAAGATATCCTTGAGAGACAAGCAGGTGGCAGACCCTCTTGTAAAAAGTTACATTACACATTGCAGCTTTAAGTAAATGGCCAATTATTTTCCTAATTGATTGGTTTCAGTTCTTTAATCAGTTGTTGTAATAATTTCTTCTCCTCACTAGTGCCATCTGCGTGTGATTCCTGTCTGCCCTGATCATTCATGCATTTTACCTCCATCTGTGCACAGCCTTTTGGGATCTCTGCATCTTCTCTCTCTCTTTCGATCTTTCTCTCTCTCCTCTCCTCCACCGCGCCCCTCCTCCTTTTTCTCCTCCAAATCCGCTAAATTATTTAACAACATGAAAACGAACAGACTGCTTTCGGCGCCGAGCTCGTAGCAGGACGGAGAGGAGAAATAGAGAACAGATTTGAGCGTAAACGAAGCCGCATTGTATGGGTGAATTGTGCGAGTTCGCGGATCGCTGTAGTGTACATTTGGCGAGCTATCTTCTGCGCGTATCAATTGGCAGGGGAAGGTCATGGGATTGAGACTAGCCAAAAGCGAGACAGAGGGAAGAGAGAGAGGAGGAGGAGGAGGAGGAGGAGGAGAGGGAGAGGAGAGGGAGAGAAGCTAAACACGGCGGAGTGCAGCTAGCACTGACGAAACTAGACAATTCAGACCAGACGTTGTATTGTAGGCTGCGATGGGGGAGAACTATATGTACCAGCGGCTGCCCTTCAACAGAGCGGAGGAGGAAGAGGATGCTGAGGAGGATGAAGAGGAGAGAGGGAGGAGGATGAGAGAAGGCACGGGCAGCGGACAAATGGTAAAGAATATGGTTTGGGGAAAAAGGTGGTGTGAAAAGAGGAGTGTCTGTGTGTATCTGTGTGTGTGTGAGTGAGTGTGAGTGAGTGTGCGCTATAGCCAGGAGTGTTTTGGGGGTGGGGCTTCTCTGTTATCACTATAGACTACTACTAAAGATCACTGTCTTTGTTAAAAGGTTGTGCATTAAATGTAAACGTATGGTTAAATATACATGTTTTAAAGGGCCCATATTGCGGTATTTTCTGATCTATGTTATAATAAGTGTTTCCACGTCTCACAAACACACCTGGAGTTGTCAAATGAAGAAAAGAGGTAGGTTCACTGGGTCATAAAAGAGTTAAAAAATAGCAGTACAGGTGCTCGATGAGGGTTAAACTTGTAGTCTTTAAACAGAAAGTTGCCCTTACTGGAAAATGTAAAAGTGGGCAAGGTACAAACCCAAGGCACTCCGACTGAATATATCAAAAGTCCTTTATCGCATGAAGGGAGGCCAACACTTTTAATATATTCAGTTGGGATGTTTAGGCTGAGTTCTTTCCTCAAACACACTCAACACTGTGTTCCACCTTGTGATGTCATGTGGTAATACAGGAAGTGCTCCGTCGTGTTTTGAAACTCCATACACCTTTACTAGAATCATTTGGATGATTTCAACCCTGAAACTGCCCATCTCTACTCAGTAGGGGTGTGAGGATATCTTCGTGTCACGATACGATATCGTCATGGTATGAACCTCACAGTACGATATTTATTGCGATAATGTGGGAAAGCCACGATATGTTGTGGAGGCTCACGATTATGGATGTAACAATATCCAAATCTCTCGGTACAATATTTTCATGATATACATCTCACGGTATTTTGTGACGCTAACAAAAACTGTTAATATGCTCTTTTTCCTCTTAAAATGCCTTGACAAGACTTAATCCAAAGAACTAAGACTTAAAAGTGCTTAGAACTGATATTTCTTCTTGTAGTCTACCCTGAAATGGAGCAAAGGATCATAGTCTATTTAGTTCACTCTTCATTTAAACAAAGAGTCTTGTAATTCAATATATTGTGATCGTCCACGATATTATTGTGACAACTCTGACGATACGATATCACGATATTTTGGTTATTGTGACATGCCTAGTACTCAACTAAAGGTAAAAGGAGCTGCTAACTTGGAAACTACCTCTTCTTGATTTCACAAGGTCAAACAGAGCTTTGGCGATGTAGACAGACTAATAATAAAGACTTACTCAGACGTGCGTGAATGAAACAAAACACAACTCCAGCTCACAAGAGGCAATTTGGTGTAATATAGGACTTTTAAACATACTGTATTTGCATTTTACAACAGAATTCTGAGACTTCATGATAATTCAATCAATATATGACAGCCAATTGAGACGAACTTTGACAATTCTTATACCTATTCACATAATTTTAGATTTTAATAGTTTAAGTAGTCAAGTTCATTACGTAGACTCCAATATTTTAGCTATTTCAATAAATTTTATGACTAGCTTGTAACTCGGCCTATTTGTTTGTTTGCAAAATGTAAGTCACGGCTCTAAATGATGACTGGAAAACTTATCTGTGCAGTTGTTGCTGGTGCCGTCAATGTGCCGCCAAGACGATTAGAGGCTCACTGTAGCTCCTTAATTTCCGTTGCACTTAACTTTATTGGTCCATTATAGGTGTCCATATCCACTGCCCCTCCAGCAGACATCAATATCCTGTCAGCGTGTGTGTCTTAGATTCTAAATGTACCATGTAACTTTGTGGTTTTGGGGTCCGTCAGCTGCTTGTTTCTATGGATACATCATTGCTCTGCTTAGAATGACATTAAACAGCTCTACTTTACATTTATTCAATTACAGCTCAAAAATACCTAGAAAAACTGATATCCTGACTGTGAGTGGGGTTGCTGAATCCGTGTATCATTCGTTCATTCATTTTTCAAAATAAAACCGAAAATAAGAAAACTAAAAAAACAACAATTTTCTTCATTATTTGTCTCCAAAACCAAAATGAAAAAACAGATAATGATTTGTTTTTTCAGTTTTCGGTTTTTGTGTTTAAATGAATAATGGAAAAAACGGATAACGGCCGTTTCCTGTTTCCGGACTTAAACTGCGATGCCGGACTTTTGCGCCACATACGGACTGAACCAGGATTAAACCAGGACTGAACCAGGTCTAAACCAGGAGTGTCAGGACAGGCCCGGAGGTGTGCCCGCGTAGACTGATCAGGACTGAGACAGGGACCAAACCGGGACCAGACCAGGACTTAGACTGGGACCAAACCGGGACCAGACCAGGACTGAACCAGGACTGATCCCAGGCCTAAAACAGTACAACACTAGGACTAAACCAGGACTAAACCAGGTCTAGACCAGAACTGAACCAGGACTAAACCAGATCCTGGTGTCAGTCCCAGTCTGGTCCCAATCTCAGTCCCGGTCTCAGTCCCGGTCTCAGTCCGGTCTCAGTCCCGGTCTGGTCCCGGTCTCAGTCCCGGTCTCAGTCCCGGTCTCAGTCCCGGTCCGGTGCTGGTCTGGTCCCGGTCTCAGTCCCGGTCTCAGTCCTGGTTCAGTCCTAGATCAGTTCTGGTTCAGTCCAAATGCGGCACAAAAGTCCGGCATCACAGTTTAAGTCACGGAAAACAGGAAATGGCCATTATCCTTTTTTTTTTCCATTATTAATTTAAATACAAACTTGAAAACTGAAAAAATTAATCGTTATCCATTTTTTCATTTTGGTTTTGGAGACAAATAATGAAGAAAATAGTTGTTTTTTTGTTTTATTATTTTTGGTTTTATTTTGAAAAACGAATGAACGAATGCTACGCGGATTTTGCTTCTTCACAGATCTGACCTGTAACTTGGTCTGGTTTGGTCTCCATGACAATAGAAAGGTTTAATGCCATACTGTGAAACATTCAAGACAAAGCAATAACATCTCCATGAAGTTAAGCAGGTGATGGACACTCGACCAGAAAAGTTACACAATGCCCCTTTAATGTTCAATTAGGATTAGATTAACATACAAATGAATTAACTACGGTCATTTTTTATCCATTAACGAGGTGTTCTCATTGACACCGCACATTGGCTTTACGGGGTCCATTACAGACGAGTTTATTGCATTTGGACAGTGGAAGCTGAAACCCGTGAAAACACAGGGGGGACACAGACAGCTCCTGCACTGCACCAAATTCTGCATATACACTCTTTCTGGAATAGTGTCATCTTAAACAGCAAGAGAGAAACTGCAGGAACATAAGGAGTACTGTATATCTGCTGAGATGCAAGCAGGCAAGCTTTATTTTAATAGTTTAAGTATTTTCTGAAGTAAAATGTCTTGTTACCTTTATGTGATCTTGTAACAATCTTTAATCCCCTTTTAAAGCAGAATTATATGTTCTGTGTTGTGTGTATATTGTGAACTGTGGAGAAAAATCCATGTATCATTCGTTCATTTGTTTTTCAAAATAAAACCAAAAATAAGAAAACGAAATAACAGCTTTTTTCTTCATTATTTGTCTCTCAAACCAAAATGAAAAAACTGATAACGATTAGTTTTTTCAGTTTTCAATTTTGTGTTTAAATAAATAATGGAAAAAACTGATAACAGTTGTTTTCGTGACTCAAACTGCACTTGTCTAACATTTTAGGCAATCATGTTAACAAAATAACACTATTTCCAAAAAAAAAAAATATTATTATATGAAAAGTGTATTTGTATATATATGTGTATACCTTTATCCATTTTTTCCAGTATTAAATTAAACACAAAATCAAAAACTGAAAAAAAAACCAAGTCATTATCCGTTTTTACATTTTGGTTTTGGAGATAAATAATGAAGAAGAAAATTGTTTTTTTTGTTTTGTTTTGTTTTCTTATTTTTGGTTATATTTTGAAAAACAAATGAGTGAATGATACACGGATTGAGGACCTCAACATGCACCATTTTGGCTGAAGGTCCTATATTATGCAACATCGACTCTTGTGAACTTTAAACCATGTTAGAATGTTATTACCTCAAAAACATACCTGGAGTTGTGTTTTGTTTCATTCCCACATGTTGGAGTAACCCTTTATTATTAGTCTGTCTACATCTCAAAAGCTCAAAATGCTCTTTTCCACCTTGTGATATCATGAAGTAGTAGTTTTCCGGTTAGAGATGGGCAGTTCCAGGGCTCAAATTATCCAAATTATTCTGGTGTATGGACTTTATGGAGTGTATGGAGTTTAAAAACACAGTGGAGAACAGGGTTTGTGGGTTAAACATCTGTAAATGAAACAAAACACAACTCCAGGTCTGTTTTTGATGAGGAAACAACATACAGTAGATCAGTAAATAACGTAATATGAGCCCGTAAAGTGACATATTAATCAACATTTTTAACCAGCCATTACTTTGCATACTACAGGACCTATTTCTCTTTCTATTTCTCTATTTCTTAACCCCCTCTGTGTCTCTCCCATTGTGTGCAGATGCAGTGTGAGGAGGGGACTGAGTGGCTGTTGGAGCTGCTCACTGATGTCCAGCTGCAGCAGTATTTCCTCCGGATCCGAGACGAGCTCAACGTCACCAGACTGTCCCACTTCGACTATGTGAAGAACGAAGACCTGGAGAAGATCGGCATGGGGCGTCCCGGTATGTGGATGAACACAATCCTGAGCTCTATGGACTGTAAAAGTAAACACAAAAGTCCAGAAATATTCAGAAATTTCATCTTAGGCCCTCAGCCTTTTTTTGACTGTTTTCAGAGACATTGTACTTGATAATATCCAAATTTTGTGTATCTTCCAATCTTGATAGACAAAATTCCCCCTCCCTTGAGTCTAAAATACATCATCTCGGATCTGTCCAGGCACTCCTCTCAATAATTTAAAGGTACATTATGCAACTTTTCTGGTGGACGGTTTGTCAGATGTTTTTCTTCATGGAGATGTTATTGCTTTGTCTGGAATATTTCACAATATTGAATCTTTTTATATTCACGGAGACCAAGAAACCAGACAGCCCTACTCACAGTCAGAATCTGTTTTTCTAGTTATTTTTAAGATATAAAACCACCTGTAATTTAATAAATGTAAAGTAGATCTGTTTAATCTCATACTTTGACCTATACAAAGAAACTTGAAGGTGACTCCCAACTGAAAAGTTACACAGTGCAAACAAATCGTCTAGGATCTGTCCAGTCAGTCCTCATTGATTTAAGATCTAAGTGCGGTGTCTGATTCTGTTGTTTCAGGCCAGAGGAGGCTGTGGGAGGCGGTGAAGAGACGAAGAGCCCTCTACAAACGGAAGTCCTGGATGAGCAAGGTTCGCACTAAACAGGCAAAGCATTTTCTTTCATTTCATTTTACTGTATCTGAATATTAAATTATTCATTGTGAAAATTTTGTTTTACACCAAGTCGAATCACATGAGCCATAATTTTGGCTTCATGATTTTCAATGATGATGGCAGGATCAAGGAATGTTAGTCAATACAAGACAAGTATATAGAATCTGTAAAACTGTTGAATGATAAATTTCAAAATCTGCAATGCAATTTAACATGAACAGAAAACAGAAATGTTACTTATGATTATTATTTTTAAGACAATTTTACCATTGTCTGAGAGTTGAAAGATGTTTTGAAGAGAAGTGAAGAAGTGGAAAGTGGTCAAAAAAAAGTAGAAAGAAGAAATAGATTGTTTTGATTTATTAGAATGCTGTAAATGAGCCTTAATGCAAAATAAATATAAAACAGATACTCATTCACACTTTCCTCCTCATAACCTTCTTGTCCTTTGTCTGTAGGTGTTCCCAGTGAAGAGGCCGGACTCAGACCCCCAGCAGCCCAGTGTACAGGGGGCCTCGGGGGGGTCAGGCCCAGGCAGCAGCAGCAGTGAGGGGGGGGCCTCTCTCACCTGCCTCATCAGAGAACCAGAGCTGCAGCTGTTTGAGAGGCTCGGGGACGGGACCTTTGGGGTGGTCAGGAGGGGCGAGTGGACTGCACCCAACGGGAGAGTGGTGAGAAACAGAGCTCTAGGTCTTATTTTTAGATGCAAAAAAAAAAAAGTTTTCCCATCAGTGAATAATTAGTTTATTTTTTGCCAACAAGATTTTCAGAAATAGGCCAGCACTGTAGGATTGATGAGCCATATTTTCAGATATTCTGTGCCAGATGTCAGTGCTTTCAACCCTGGTTTTGCTACAGTACTTTTTCTCAATTGTGTTCCCAGTGTTTTTTGTTCTGACCCACATTTTAAAAGTCACAGACCTTCCTGACCTAAGTCAATAGACATTATTCGTAAATTATTTGACCATTATTGAACATTAATGAGGATATTTTATTGTTGACTAAGTGATCATGTTGCTCTGAACAATTAGTATTACTCAAGTGTTTTAAGCAATGAAAAACAATATTTGAACCAGCAATAAAAGGATCCATAAGTCACCTATTTGGACATTAAATGTAGCCCATTTCTTTTTCTTTTCAACATTTAATTGAACCAGCACTATTGGAATAAATTAGTCAATAAAATAATTACAAAAAGATTAGAAATGAAACAAACATGTCTTAACATTTGAACATTTCTAATCAGATAGGTGGGCCTGTCTGCATTTTTGTAGCGCGTTTCAGTCCGAGGTGCAAGAGGCGAGCGTATCACACATATCAGTGTCAGAACTGTATATTGCAGACCTACATGCAGATCATGACAAGGCCATCCAAAAAAAATCTCTCGCGACCCAATCTTTTGGAAACATTGCTCTATCTTGTCATTAAAACCCACTATGGGCATGCCGAAATAGCTTTGTCTCCAAGTTCTTTTAGTCTAGTTAAAGACATAACAGTGTCATAAGCCAAAAACATGTCTCAATGGCCATTTAAATTTTTTAGGTTTTATAATTAAAGGTGCTCCACATAACTTCTCTGGTGGAGCCATTTGTTTGCCTGAAATGTTCCACCACAAGGAATTTATTATATCTACCATTTATTTATTGATGTGTGCTTGAAAAACATGCGTTCTTTCTTACTAGTGTTGTCGCTCCCCACAGATCTGGGGTCGCATTTATAAAAGGAGATGTGTGTTAAAAAAGACAAAAATTGAGGAATAAGGCTGGGAAGTTGCCGATTCGATGCATACCTTGATACATAGGGCACAATACAATACATATTTCGATACAGTGCACTTTCGATTCGATATGGTGCAATAAAAAATAAAGGCTAAATTATGGTTGTGATACTAAAAGTCTTTGTTAAACCACTTCTTGTGCAAAGTGAATATGAAACACAAACATTTTAATCATCAAAACAGTGAAAATGTCAAATGTGTTGCACAAACGAGTTTCCTTCCTCTAAACAATTAACAAAACTGTAGTGCTGTAACAAAATAATTTTGTAAAATATACCAAAATATACTAGCTATACTAGATATATCGATACAGCACTCCCCGATATCAATACTGTATCATCACATTCAATGATACGATATATCAATATTTCGATATTTTTGCACACCCCTGTTATAGAAACTGAGGAAGTTTGTTAAAGTTTGCATTTCGTCTGTTTTTTTAGTAAAAATTCTACGTAAAGTTTTATAAATAAGACCCCTGACCTCTAACTTGCTCTGTTGCTGTCATCTGTTTGTCTCCATGGAGATAGATATGTTTTAATGCCATAGTGTGGAGCATCATGGATATACAGATGACCAACAGTCCAATAAAAACTTACATAGTTCACCTCTAACAGGACCATTTTAACTTTGGATCTTTCATGTTTAAATATTTATTCACACATGTTTTTTACATTTCTTTTCGTAGCTGTCAGTGGCTGTGAAGTGTCTGAAGGCCGGTGTTTTGGATTCAGACGGGCTGGACGATTTTATCAGAGAAGTGAACGCCATGCACTCCCTCAACCACCAAAACCTTATCCGCCTCCACGGCATTGTACTCACACAGCCAATGAAAATGGTAACAGATATTTATAGCTACAATAATAACATCTGTGTTAGCTGACATAGTGCTGAACACAGACTTCTCTATTGTGCGTAGGTGACCGAGCTCGCACCCTTGGGATCCCTGTTGGACCGTCTCCGAAAACGCCAGGGCCACATCCTGATCTTGTCCCTGTGTAATTACGCTGTTCAGGTCAGTCAGTCTCACCACCGGCAGATCAACAAACGAAGCTAAAGGGGGTAGACCACAACTTCCTCTTTAATTCATTGACTCAGTTGCATTCCTTCACTGAATTTTTGTTTCACGCCCAAAAATATGTAAACGTGTGGGCTGGTTTTTCAGATTCATGGTGATCTCGCTGTACTGTATGTCTTGAATCAACTGAATCAGACTTTATGAGATGTTCAAAACTCACAAATCCTGACTTTGTTTTTTTGTTTTTTCCTCAAAGGTCAAAATTATTCATACTGTAGTCACATTTTGAATACATTTTGTTTTAAATATAGCATTAATTTCATAGTTCCAACTAGAAACTATTTATAAAACAAACACAAAAAACCTTAAATTTAAAATGTTTGCAAAAAAATTGAACAGCTCTATTTCTTTTAGTTCAAATTTTCTAGTTCTTAGGCCTTGTGTAATATCCCAGTTTCAGTTCTTAAGATCCAAATAGCATAGCTCAATATGCAAATAATAATATTCCTTATACAGTTACAAATATTTTGGAATGTACACAGAAGCACATATTGTTAGATTAATCTATTCTACATCTACTAATGTTTTTGTAAGCATTAAACAATGAGGAGCCATGGTATAATAAAATAAAATATGCCCAGTTTAGATTAGTTGTTGTCCAGTTTTTATTTTAAGATATAAAACATGCAGTAATGATATTCAGGTACAAATATATTAGGAAATGTTTACTGAAGCACACATTGTTACTAATGTTTTGGCAAATATAATAATATGCTATGTCTCTCTCTCTCTGTGTAGGTGGCGTGTGGTATGGCCTATCTGGAGTCTAAGCGTTTCCTGCACAGAGACCTGGCCGCTCGTAACGTTCTTCTGTCGACAAACGAAACCGTGAAGATCGGAGACTTTGGTTTAATGAGAGCTTTGCCCACTCACACAGATCAGTACATCATGGAGGAGGGACACAAGATACCCTTCCCCTGGTAGGTTATATACGAACTAATGTTATCCTTTCTAAGATTTTTATGCCATTATTTGGGTTCAGTCATATTCACCTTCACATAGTTTTAAAACATTTGAAAGCAGTTGATATTAGTAACTGAATTATTTTGCAAGCTAGAGAAAGATAGTAAAGAGCCCAAGGTAAGATAAGATATAATGTTTCATAATTTGTATATACTAAAATAAAATTTAAAAAAATACAAAATGTTAAGACTACTAAAAATCATTACTGTCCATTTTCTTTTTTAACAGATTACATTTGCATATCTTAAAATCTGCAGTCAGCCACACAAACTCCTTCATTTGGTCTTCCTTATACATGTATTTCAAAGATTAATTTCATTCAAGTTAAAAAAAAGATGCAGTGTTGATTACATAATTAAAATCGTAGTTGGTTGTTGAACTGTTGTGCAGGTGTGCTCCCGAATCTCTTAAATCTCGTACCTTCTCCCATGCCTCTGACACCTGGATGTTTGGAGTAACTCTGTGGGAGATGTTCACCCACGGACAGGAGCCATGGCTGGGACTCAACGGAAGCCAGGTAAAGGCAGAAGAGTCTGTTAAACTGTTTATTTAAAATGTTATGAAATAGACCATGCTTTTCTCTGATTGGTTCATAGACCTGTCAGTCATTCCCATCAGAACTACAGGTGGTCGAGAATTCAGACTTTTTGTATTGAATAGAAATAGCATCTTGCCTGATCTGGCTGGTCCTCAGTTGCATTGTTGCTAGTTTAACATTTTTACCTCAAAATTAAAGGCGCTGTACCTGAGTTTTAATTAAAATGTGAAAAACAGAACTAGTTCAATGGTTTGCAGTGATCCAAAGTTATTCCTCATTTACCTTCTGCATTCTGAGCCTTCTAATTTTTCATTACAAGCACTTTTCTCAGTTTTCAGAGGCCAAATCAGACCACTGCAGTACATGAGAACTTATTTTGACCTCCAAAAGTGTTTATACAATATATAAAGACTAGGGCAAGATAAATTCTGCTCAAATACAATTGTGTGAAGAGAAGGTCAAGATCAATGCTGTATTTTTCTCCTCACAGATTCTCCATAAGGTGGACGTGGAGGCGGAGCGTCTGTCCAAACCGGACGACTGCCCTCAGGACATTTATAACGTGATGCTGCAGTGCTGGAGCCCAAAGCCCGAGGACAGACCCACCTTCATTGCTCTCAGAGACTTCCTGCTCGAGGTGTCATATCTACACCAATATCAGTGTGATAATTACTTCAGATAATCTTTGTTATTTAAATGTGACAAGACATTACATAGTCTTAGAATGACACGGTTTTATCTGTGTTCCGGGTAGATAATTTTCTAATGTTGAAGTTTATAGCTCTGACCACTCATGGAACACAATAGAATAGGGAAAAGCACATTTTAAACCTATAAAATTCACCATACCCTACAAAATCTTGATATAAATGTGTTCAGTTTGGACAAAGACATCAGATCCTGTAAAATGGACGAGTAATATGAATAGAAAAATCCCATACAGTAGACATAAACATACAATTTCCTTTATTTTCTAAACACTGAATGTACTTTATTATAATACTGGCAAATAAAAGGCCATTTCTTCATTATAATTCTAGCCGTCTGTGAACACCAAAGTTGGAAATCACTGTTCTAATGGCTCAAATAATACAATACTCTTCTATGTTGCACTATCTATTTCCTAAGCTTAGTTGATTCTCCTGATTCTCCTTCCAAATGCTTTTTAATAAAAAGTCACGATGCTAGTTCTGTTTTGTCTTTTATTTATTGTTTTATTGTTAAATTTGTTCCAGACGATGCCCACGGACATGAGAGCCCTGCAGGACTTCGAGGAGGACGACAAGCTGCAGATCAAAATGAACGACGTCATCACAATCATCGAGGGGAGGTCAGAATGAGTCATGCCTCTGATACGGTTATCGGGCCAAGAAGGGACACAGAGATCTTAGAAAAATACTCCAGGGCTCATGTGTCATTCCAGGATATGTTTGGTAATCATGTTAGATTTTGCAGAAAGCTTTGAAATCAGATTTAATATTTTTATGTGGGAGTGCAGTTCAGGACTCATTCGTACGAGACAACGTCAGCTATTGTAGACACTGCATTCCTCGCTTTGTGGGAGATTTCTTTATTGGTAACTGTTTGCTTTGTGTATATTTGTATTTTTATCAAAGGACATGAACCTTTCCATAGTATATTTTTGGCTTTACAAGTAAGTACTACCAAGCTGTAAGCATAAGTTTGTCTCATTTAAAGTCCCATAGTGTATCTTTTTATTCGTAACCACAAACTTTATACAGAAGTGGACTAAAAGTGAATGTGATATCACCCACAGCGTTCGGCTTACATCTTGATTTACAGACAAAATAGCAAAATAAAAACACCGGGATCACGTAGAGCGGTTTAATGTGAACATTTTAACACCAAACGAGGAGCCTGACAGCAGTTACAGAGAGAGGAATGACGTTTTTTCAGTAGAAACTTAATTTGAGCCTAAGTTAATGAAGCCCGAAGCACGTCTATAGTCCATACTTGGGCTTGCATCTCCACAAACCTGACTTTTTTTTGACCTGGGGCAGGATCTTTTCTTGCTTATCTCCATAGAAACATTGTTCTTTTGGTTATAATAGCCCACAAAAGGTATACAATATATTGATCTCCATGAAAAATATTCAGTAGCTTGGTTTTAACTTTCTATTTTCATGGAATAATGCAGGTTACATGCTGCTTTAATTCTCATTTTAGCTCCTGATACCAAGGTCACCCACTTGAGGCTTATTCACCATAGAAACTAATGCAGGGAGCTTAGTCTGGAACCAAAATGACAACAAAATAAAACAAACTTATTCACTCCACTTGTACAGAATAACTTTCAAGTCTAATACTTCGTTATAGTAGAGGATGTAGTATTAAGATTAGGGGTGTGCAAAAATATCGATATATCATGTAGTTTAATGTGATGATACAGTATCGATATGGCTGCTGTATTGACATATCGCCAAGAGGATTTTTTGGTATATTTTACTAAATTATTTTGTTACAGTGCTACAATTTTGTTGCTTATTTAGAGGAAGGAAACTTGTTTATGTAACACCTTTGACACCTTTGACCTTTGAGGCGTGTTTCATATTCACTTTGCACAAAAAGTGGTTTAAGAAAGACTTTTAATATCACAGCCATGATTTAAACATTTTTATTGAACCGTATTGAATCATTTTGAAATATATCATATTGAATCAAAAGCTCACTGTATCAAGATATGTATCGTATCGGCAACTTCATAATGATACCTAGCCCTAATTAAGATTCAAAGTTAAAGCAGGCATGATCTAGTTCAGGAATATGTTCAGACCTTCAGAATCTTGGAGGTTTTATTGTGTCAGTGAACAAAATTCAAAACTACATATAAAATGAACTTGATTATCTTTATCTGTCATCACATCTTCTCCCTGCCCTGTCCTGTTGATGTTCCAGAGCGGAGCATTACTGGTGGCGTGGTCAGAACCGCCGTACTCTTCATGTGGGGCAGTTTCCTCGTCATGTGGTCACTTCGGTGGCGGGTCTGTCAGCGCAGGACATCAGCCGCCCACTCAAACACTCTTTCATCCACACGGGACACGGAGACACAGACCCACACAGGAGCTGGGGCTTCGCTGACCGCATAGACAGGTCTGTACTGTGGACATGTTACGTTTTCATTCTGCTCATTCATCTGTTTCATTTGGTTCACAATATTGTATTATAAGACTGCAAATGATATTTGGTTGTCCACAATACAGACATTTAATAGTTGGGCCTGGTTGTAAAAAGTATCAGAAATCAAATATTAACTGGTACTAAAACTACTATGAAACCTCGATAGTCATCAAGTATCGATCACATAAAAAGTCACATATACACGACCAAATTGGACCTTTCTTGAACAGTTTTTGAATGATATTTGAACTTTATCAGTACAACTATAAGAAATTGCTATTATTTTCTGTTGGACATTATATTCTTTTGTCTAAAAACAAATGTAAATGTATTAAATTGGGAGTATAATATACAAGTTATCTCATACTATTCATAATTAGTAATAATGATCAGTAGTAACAATGATGATCGTGGTCTATAAGTGACTTTGTTTTACTTATTATCATTGTATATGTTTGAAATACAGTAGTTCAAGTCCTTCAGTCAATTGTACTGTAACTAAATGTTTTCTCTTTCCACCAGAGGGCAGCAGAGCACTGTCAGAATGTTAGTTAAAATGACTAATATTTGACTGAATTTAACAATCTTAAATGTGCAGAGACATTCACACCTGATCATTCACATTTACATCCACTTATGATTAATTAAGATCTAACACTTTGCTTTTATTTCTTTCCTCTATAGTTTGTATTTAGGAAATCCAATGGATCCTCCTGATATTCTTGGATCAACTCCAGCTGAAGCAAGGCCAACCAAACTTCCCAACCGTGCCAAAAGTAAATAAAAATAATAATAAAACATGTCTTTTAGTAGTGTCTTCAAACCCTAATGTTTTATTTTGGACAAATTAAGCAGAAAATAACTCATATCTTGTCTGTTTTTATTAGAACAACCTCCACCTCGGCCTCCTCAGCCTGCCATTCTGCTAAAGAGTAAGTCCTGTATTCACATTACATAGATTTAGATTTTTACTAGACTGTTGAAGGTCTATGTCAACTTGTCACTATGGAAATGGAGTGCTTTGCCTGAAATGTTTCACAGTATGGCATTAGACTTATCTATGTTGCATTTATTCAATTACACGTGTTATTATTTCTCAAAACTTACCTCAAAAAACATGTATTCTTACTGTGAGTAGCGTCACCTCTCCACAGGTTTATCCCTTAACTTCGCCTGGTCCCACCACCTGTTTGTCTCCATGGAGATAGATCGATAACTGCGTAACATTCCCGACAAACAACAACATCTTTATGGAGACAATCAAGTGACTGAGCCTCCTCTAAAGAAGTTATATAGTGCAACTTTATTGGCATTTTTCACAACTTTCAGAGACCAGAGCAGAGCATTGCTGTCACAGTAATGCTAACAACAACTAGCATGCTTACAGTGCACATCCTGATCATCGGACAATAAAACGCTAGATATAGACTGTAAACAGTGGATAATATTTTGACTTATACAATATATCTGTGCTTGGGCAAAGGGAAAGAGGAAATTTGCTCAAATATATCAGGAAAAATCAGCTACAGGCCATTTAACTTTATCATAGTTTTAATTAATTCGTATTTTGTATTTCCAGAGCCATTTTATGACTCCGTGTTGGACGATTACGACGATGAGGAGGACACCAGCGCTTCGTCCGGTCTGAAGAAGCTGGGGGTGTCTTTGGGTCTCAAGCTCCGGCCGTGGGAGGGCGGAGTCCGATCGGCCAAAAGCGAAGTGTCTCTCATCGACTTCACGGACGACAGCTTCAGCTCCACCACCCCCTCCCCCCTCTCCGAGCAGCACCCGAGGGACGACGATACGCTCAAGGTATAATAGATGAGTAAAAGAAATAGTGATGTGTCTATATAACATTTTTGCTAGCGCTTTATTTTAGGGTGCACTTATTAACACCATGGTTAATTGGTCATTAATTTGCATTTATTCAGCCTTTATTAATGCCTTATTTTGCATAAGATAGAGATTTACTAACACTCTCCTATTAATAAACACTTTTTTCTCACAATATTTCAGTGATTAATATTAGGGTAATTGGCTAGTATCTGCAATATTTTCCACTACTTATAAGGAGTCAAATAGAAAGTTGTTGTTTAAAGATTAATATTACGTAAAACTGACTCTTGTGAGCTTTATGCCTTGTTATTATGCTGTTACCTGTTACATGTGTGAATGAAACAAAATAAAACTCCAGATTCTGTATGTTTTTCATAAGGAAACAATATTTTAAGATACAGTAGATCAGAAAATGATTAGCTTTGATGGTTCTCACTTGTTTTCTCCAGTTATCAGAAACATTACATTTTTTCAAACATATTTTCCTATAAATAATGAGCTTCAGCAATAGTATGTGTGTGTTTTAGTCTCATTCATTATTCCGAATTAGAACTACACAAAAGTGCAGTTAAGTTCATCACTGTACTGTCTCTCTCAAATCATCAAAAATCTGAGGAATGTTGCAGGTATCTGTGTCACTTCTTTTCAACAACAGGTCTACAGTAAAACATATATGTCCAAAAAAACTGACATTCTGACAATATTTGATACAGTTATTGTTACTGTATGACTCCTCCCTTAGGGCAGGGCTAAGGGAGATGCCGATGTCAAGAAAATGCATAGACCAATTATTGTTTTTTTTGTTTTGCTTTATTTTGTTTCATTTGTGATGTGTACATTGCAAAATAAGAAATGAACATGCATCCTTACTCTCCACAAACCTGACTCTTATTATTATCTTATCTTCTTCTTATCTTTTGGCTATGAATAATGAACAATCTTGAAAGCTGACAAATGAAAGTTATTTAAATCAAAAGCATTGGGTATATGCAGGCCTTACAGCAAATTGCACAAAAAAATTCAAAAAATTGATTGTTTAAGGGCGTTTCATTTCACATAAACAACTCTGTCTTTTATTACAGGGTATGTCATTTAATTTACTTTCATTAACAAATATTAAGATTTCACCGCAGTCTTCAGCATCATTTGCATCATTTGGTTCCCCTGGCATCCAAGAACTAAAATGAAAAAGACAAAACAAAAAAAAATGAACAGAAACAAAACAGAAAAGGACACTATGCACAGGGCCGACTCTAACTCTTTTGTCGCCCTAGATGAGATTTCTGATGGTGCCTGCCCTGCCTCCACCTGCAGCAATAAATAGTCTAAAATTTGGATTTTTGCCAAGACCATTTGTTGCACTTAATCACGATTTTCAATCTATTAAAACTATAGACTTATTAGTTCATCACCTGTTTATGTTTGCGACATAGAAGCGCCCTGTGTGACTCCCTGGGTGCCTCTGCCCAGATCCAGCCCTGGGTATACAAACCTTAACGTGAGTGAAGATCCATCCACCCATTCCCAAACTCCTTCAGTCTCACGATCACTCAGTCCGATCCATCTGCGCCCTCCATATACTCTAAGAAAATTCTGCCAAAATATCAAAACAAAATGTACCTTTTTTTTTCAAGTAACCAACAGTGTTTACCATAAACTGTAGAACAAACCTGCTCCTCTTCATTGTTGATGGAAATGAGATCTGCACCTTGTTCCTGACAGAAAGATCTACTGTCCTCCCAAGAACGCTCTTTGTCGCAATAGTGATAGAAGCTTCCTTTGAAGTATAACCAGTCATTGTCTAAAATGGTATCTAAAATGCATTACAATATCACACAAGAGTTAACTATATTAAAAAAACAAAACAAAACAAAAAAAAACATCTATGTTGCACAGACTACATACTTAAAGTTTGCAGTTCGGCAACAAGCTCCTTATTTTCTTTATAATTGTTTACATTCGTGGTTTGTAAGTCTGGGGAAGACAACAGCATAGCCTACACTTAATCTCTTTGATCAGTGACTTATACATGATGCTGTTGTAGACTTACGGCTGTACTGTTGGCTCAGCTTGTCTTTTTCTTCACGCAGATTTTTGTAACTTGCTTGGAGAGCTTGGAAAGAAGTGGTACTTGTTATATTATTGTGTTTTTAAACCTGATGGGAAGAAATGTATTATACTCATAATTATGACTTTTAAACTCATAATTATGACTTTCTGTGAGGCTTTTATTTTTTATTTACTTCCATAATAGGGTGAATGGTGATGGTTTTAAACACTAATAACATAACTCATATTACTGCTGAGTTTGTCTTATATTATTACATAAATTACTCACGTAACTCATCAAAAAACATGTTTTTCATTAAGTGTAAGAAATCAACAGGCATATATATTGGCCAAAATTTTCTTAGACTTAGATGTAGACGTTCAAAAACCCTCCATCCTAAACTCATAAACATATAAACATATTTCACTGTGCAATTCAAGTGGAACTAAACACTAAATCAGCTATTTTTTTAAAGAATTTAGTTCCACTTAAAATCAAAACTATTGGAGTCACAGCTTTTTAAAGGCATTATTAGCTCTAATGGCAATGGTGGTAGAGCTAATTTAGTTTAGTTTGTAGCTCCTCTTCTTTTCTAGCATTTTTTTTTAGGACTGTGAAAAAGCATAATTATTAGACCTACACATGCATAAAGATTTAAACATGTATGTAATTCAGTTGTACTCACTTGAATACATTTTCTGTAGCTCATCTCTTTCTTCAGACAGGTTGTGGTGACTCATGTTAAGGACTGTCAAAATTGGCAACATGTACTTTCATTAATTATAAGAAATCAAAATGCATCATCTACATCAGTGTTTCCCAACCAGAGGCACGAGGACCTGCGAGCAAGGTGGAATTGAATGGTATTTGAATGTAAAATATTTGTTGTACTACACTTTTGTAGGATCATTTTGGAATTTGTTTTCTTAAAACAAGAAAATATAATAGTGTAATCCTTCATTTGTCCAGGCCTGGTTCAGTGTATGGACAGTTTCAATGAGATCATATGGACACTGTTTTTGTGATCAAGACGTTTTGGAAATATGTTGAAATGTCTTGACTACAACAAAGTGTCCAGATGACCACGGCTGGAACCATTTAGGAAACATAATAGTTAAAATCACTAGTAACCCGATGTATCATCACTAAAGAAACACCATTAAATGGTAAAGGAGGTACTTAATGTGTGAGACAAACTGTTAGAGGTAATCGAGACAAAAAAGGTTGGGAACCACTGATCTGCATTGTGTAAATTTGTATGTTTCTGTTATTTTATTTTGTAGGAGTCAAAAGTTACAAAAACAGAATCAGACATCAAAATTATCCCCTTTGTACATTTTACTCACTTGAACAGATTTTCTGCTGTTCATTTATCTCTTCAGACAGGTTTATGCAGGCTAGAGTGGACATCCATAAAACTTTAATTATCTTCAGTTACCAAAATCATTTGGAATATTTATGGAAATCTTTGTTGTAACACATAAAAAGTGCTCACATTGACCGAGACGTAGGGCGACATTGAGAGAAGCTTGTAGGATGCACAAGACTCCGAAGCCGAGTATGACCAGTTTCATCACTCTTCCTCCTGTTGAAGAAACTCAGCTTTGTAAATCTAATGTTAAAGGTCAGATCTGTGGAGAGGCGACCTCGCTCACAGTCAGAATACCTGTTTCTTATTTTTGAGCAATAAAACCACCTGTCATTGAATAAATGTAAGATAGAGCTGTTTAATGTCATACTGTGGAACATTCCAGTCAAAGCAATGACAGATCCTTAGAAACATGCAGGTAACAGACCCCCAGCGAAAGGTTACATAGTGCACCTTTAAGGGACCATATGTAAGATTTTAATTAAAATATGTTTATTTTATAATTCCAAATGAGCTTAAACGGGCCAGTCAGAGTCAACCAAAGGGCCGTATGTGACCCGGGAGCTGTACAATGCCCAGGTCTGGTCTAAGCTGTCACATGATGAACAGTCATAAACTTATAGTGAGAAAGACTTTTCTGCAGGTTTAGGTACTGGCAAAGCATGTTCAGCTGTGATTATAGTGCTTGTTTTAAAAACTTTCCGTTTGCACGCTAAATACAGTTCCTTTAATAAAACGAGCTGATTTGACTCTGACCTGTGTCTGCAGCATCTATGTTCCCCTTGATCCAGTCTCCATCCTCCTCCTCTTGATCATTGGTTTCGATGGATCCTCTGGTTCGTCTGATTGTGGGTCTAAATGATCTTTTGTCCTTTTGGACACACTCCAGTGTGTTTTCGTAGACGTCCATCATTTGATCTGCAGCTTCACACATAACTTCCTCGTTTTAAGGACTTTTATTTTTATTTTTTTGGTCGTGCAGTTTTCAAAAAGGGAACCTCCAATTCTTTGAAGTGTTTAGGAAGTGGGATCACACAGTTGCAGTTTATAATGAAAATATTGCACATCAACGTTATGTTTATTTTTTGTTTTCATAAAACTTTTAGTTTTTTAGTGCACATTTATACACATTACCATATTAAAATCCATTCAGTTTTAATAATGTTTACTTCTATACATTATAGACCACAGAAAACAGATAACCTATAGTAGTTGTAACTTCCCCTTTAACATTTACGTGGGCTTTGGGGGCTAAAGGGGAAGTGACTGTGAAAAAGCAGGTGTAGCAATTTAACAACCTTATTTTTATCTTTATTTTTACCACTTTACAACATCTTGCGATTTGGTGACCGTTCTGTTTTTCTGTGTTCTGTGTTTATGTTGTTGAAGTATTGAGCTTTCCTGAGCAGTTTAAGTATAAGACCTCATGCTAACATAAAGAAAATAGTATTATTTTGTTTGTGAAATGTATTTCTATTCTAAATTTCTATTACTAAAAATTTCACATTTTTTATCTGTCAGTAATGAGTATCGAGCACTGAGTGAATTCCTTAGTATTGAAATCGAGTTTAAAGGTGCACTGTGTAACTTCTTGGTTGGGGTCCATCACCTGCTTGTTTCTATGGATTTGTCGTTGCTCTGCCTGAAATGTTCCACATTATTACAGTATGACGTTAAGCAGCTCTGCCTTACATTTATCCAATTACAGGTGTTTTTATTGCTCCAAAATACCTAGAAAAACAGACATTCTGACTCTCCACAGATCTGACCTGTAACGTGGTCTGATGTGGTCTCCATGGTTTAATTCCATAATGTGAAACTTAACATCTCCATGAAGAAAGGCGTTTGACAGACCCAAGTTACACAGTGCACCTTTAAGTACAGGTGCACATGTGTCAAGGTATATTTTTGAGCAATAAAGTAAAAGCTTAGGAGACATATGTAATAGTTTAGTGTGGAACTTTCTAAGCAAGACATTACATCTCCATGGAGACAAGCACATGACACTCCTATCAGAAAAAGTGACATAGTCCACCTTTAAAGTGAGCACCGGTCTTTTCTGTCATGGAGGAGGATTATCTAATGACTAATATAGCCTTGGTTAAGTAATTGTGATACCAGAAATGGATTACATTAAACACATATTGACCTCAAACATGCGTGGATGTCATGTAAAACCATTTCAGACGTATTTTTGAAGAGGGAACAATGCTACAATAACATGGTAGAAAGCTCCAAAATGTTTCCTTGTCATTATTAGAAATTGAAAAGTAATAAATAATTCTCTGTTCTTTTTCCTGTAGGACACTCCTTCCATCTTGGACTGGCCTCTGCCCCAGCCGGCCTACGATGAGGTGGCTGTAGAGGCCGAGGACCAGTCTGAGGACCAGGAAGTGAGGTCCATCAACAAGAGCCAGACTGAAGACCCCTCAGTGGGGACGGGGGCTGGAGCTGGAGCTGGAGGAGTGGAAATGAAACCAACATCAAGAAATGAAACCCAATCTGCAGATCTATTCCAGGAATTACAGAGAGAGGTGAGGACATGGAGACTTTTAATTCATTACAACACAAAATAAGGATTAAGACATAGTAATTTCACAGTTTAGACTTAGTTTAGTCATTGCAGTTCTTTGGTAGTATGCACTTTTAATTAGTTTGTGTACGAATTGTGCTATATACAAATTAACTTGCCTTGCCTTGCCTTGGTAAACAAATTCAGTAGTTAAGTTGGGGAGATTAGTTCCTTTCTCATATTTCAAAATGCCACTTAGTTTATGAAATCTGTAGGAGTCAACAGAGCTCAGTTTGTCCACGATGGAAACCTGAAGAAACTTGTAATTAATAGGTGTTTTGACTAATTGAATATTCAAATAATTGGTAGTAATTATGGTTGGGACAAGATCTCATGCCACAAGATCAAAAACACCTACTTAAAATGATCTTGTGAGATTTTTTTCCTCATGTTTTTATGTTTGGACTGAAAAAAATACTGAGAGTGCTGGCGAGTTACATTTTTTGAGAATGTGTTGTCACAAAAAGCAGAACTACATTGACAGAAGAAATATTAAATAAAGTAAATCAAAAATGGTGAGTCTAAAATTGCGAACTGAATTGCACAGTGCATTTATTCTATAGATCAAAATCTTGTTTTGTCTTGTTCTGGTAGATCTAATCTCATGTATCATCTTGTCTTGTGGAAATTGTATTTTGTCCAAATAGTAAAATTGGATAGAAGACAAAAAAAAAAATACAATATCTACAAAATTTTGGTCAATTAAACATAGAGAAAAATCCCGCACACCGTCTTACTTGCAAATTATAAGATTTATTAGGACAGACCGTGCAACATTTCGGCACTAGGCCTTCATCAGGCAAACGGGGGAAGGCTTAGTGCCGAAACACAGTTTGCACGGTTTGTCCTAATAAATCTCACAATTTGCAAGTAAGATGGTGTGCAGGATTTTTCTCTATGTTATTAGGATGCTCCCTCTCCTCCAACGCACCCGTCTCAAGTAACTGATGTGCGAAGTTCTCATTCTTTTAGGTCAATTAAATATAAAATTAGACAAATGTTTCTTCAGATATGTAAGTCGATAGTTTGTCTTAATGATGAGAAAGATAGAAACAGGTTTTATAGTTCTTTCCTTTCTGTATTTTGACTCAATATTCTCAATCTCTCTCTGTCAGGTGATGGTGAAGCTGCAGGTTCCCATGACGACGCAGGTTCCCATGACGACGGGCCGTTCCCTCCCCTCCTCCCCCCTCCCTCTGTTACCCCTGACCCCCCTCACCCCTCACAGACAGATCTACCTCCCGTCCACCTCCCCGTCCTCCAGCTCCTCCTTCACCGCCTGTTTAGAAGAACTACAACAACAGCAGCAGCAACAACACCAAAAACAACCTCCACAGCGCCCCCTGCTGCCGCCCCGAAGCCCTGCCCCTCCTCTGCGCCACTCCAAATACAGCCCCTCCCAAAAATCCAGCCAATCACAGGCGCGCTCCAGCTCTATCTCCCTGGGCAACGAGGAAGACACGCCTCCGCAGATTCCGCCTCGGGACCACACGGCGTTTTCGCAACCGGCCTCGCGCTCCTCCTCTCCGCTGCCGTTGGTTCCCATAGCGATACCTCCCCCGCCCCAGTCCGTATCTCCGCGTAGGACGGCAGGACTACTGGGACCGCTCGTATCCACGAACTCCCCTCCCTCGTCCGCTTCTCCTCAAGGAAGCTCGTCCCAAAATTCGAAAATGGCCACTCCTATGTCCACGTACTCGTCCACGTCACTGCTGGATCCGCTCGTGTGTCGGGATGGGCGGGGCTTCTCTTTGATTGACAGTTCGCAAACCACGCCCCCAGCTCCTTTGCCAGAGCGTCCAGCATTTCTGGAAAGGTAAAAAGAGCGAAAATATATAATACAATAATAATAATTGGTAGTAATAAGGGTTGGGACAAGATCTCGTACCACAAGATCTCGCAAGTCAAAAACACATTAAAAATGACCTTGTGAGATTTTTTCCTCATGTTTTTATGTTTGGACTGCAAAAATAAAGTGCTACCGAGTTACATTTTTTGAGAATGTGTAGTCCCAAAAAGCAGAGCTACAGTGACAGCAGAAATATTAACTAAAGTAAATCAAAAAAGGTGAGTCTAAAATTGGGAACTGAATTGCGCAGTGTATTTATTAAAGCCTAAATAATGTCAAAATCTCGTCTTGTCTCGTTCTCGTAGATCCAGTCTCGTGTCTGGTCTCGTAAATGCTCCTTAAACTGTACCTGTTTTTGTTTTTATAGATATGGAGCAGCTAACATGGCCGCAGTCAAACCTATAGTCCAGCAGCCTCCTCCTAAACCAAACTCCTCCTACAACAACAACAACGGAAGAACTACAAATCCGAGCATGCTTCCTGAGCAGAGCATCGCAAAGGTGACTGAAGTGATTCTTCTTTTTCAGCTCTTGAATCAATGTTCTGACTGTAAATGTAATTTCTTTCGTTTCGTTTGAGTAAATGTTTATTGTTGTGTAGGTTCATGGAGAGGTTCACGGTGTCACACTAGAGGAGTGCCGAGCTGCTCTTATCACTCACAACTGGAGCATCCCTCAGGCCATAAACCATCTGAAGGTGAGAATAAGAATAGTATGTTTCTCCTGTATTCTGTTTACTTGCACACTCAAGGTTGTTTTACATTGTTTGCATTTATTCATACACTCCCAAGTCGGGCTGGGTGGTGTTAAGATAAAAAAAACAAATTGTGATCTCATCCCGGTGAAAAAAAAAAGCTATTTTGGTGATATTGTCAAATTGTGATTCAGTTTTAGAGATAGATCTGCTGCCTACACACAAAGCTTTATATTACCACTTTACTATAAAGAGATGACTGCACACAACATGACTTACACAGATCTCTTATAGGTTTGTGGTAAAAAAGAGTGGGAATTTGTAGTAAATTTACATTATATAATTGGGGAAAATAATCAAAATCAACCCAAAAATATCAGCAGACCTCATCAGCCGATACATTTAACCAATCACAAAGAAGTGTGAACTTTCAGAAAAGGCGTATGAGTTTATTTGCTTCATTGTGGCAATATACAAGGGTACATGGATCTGACTTGAAAAGAAACATATATTGAGTTTTTGGCGTATCAGCTCTCCTACTCCCAATATTTGGTGATGCCAAGCTTCTTTGGTCACCACTGCTCCTGTGAGTGACAAGACATGGCTGTAAATACAAATGTTGGTAGATCGAGACTTGCACATCCAACAAAAAGTGCGACTGCATGCAGGGTCCAAAGACAAAAAATTGCTCAGTAAAAGGAAGAGATCCGGACTGCAGTTCTTCCTAAATTTTGATTTCAATAATACCAAAATGTGATGTTTGTTAAGACACCTGTTATAGGCCCAGGTCCAGTCACCTGACCGACCATGTGACCCAATAAAAGAAAAAGTTTTTGATTATTGTTGAATGGAATCTTTAGTACAAAACAGGTGTTCACTCTGTTTTAAAGTGGTGTATTGGTTTACCACAGCTAGTATTTACACTATTTACAGACAATAATATTTGCATTAGCACTGTAGGCATGGAAGTTTCATTGTAAGCACACATACAGCGACAGGCTAGAGTGATTATGTCAACAGTTTGAGTCACAAAATGGTCTTAGGTCAAAATCTTCATTGAGACCATCTGGTCCGAAACGTCACATTGTGGTGTTATTGGAATAAAAATGTGGGAGCTTCAAAGAACTGCAGTGCAGATCTCTTTTCTTTTTTTGTAAATATGCATGCGCCTAAACCTCCACCAATGTCTCACTCATAGACCACATCCATATAAGTCAAGGTCTGGACGGTGAATCGTCTTGCCCAAGGACACACATTATGTACTGGCGTCATAACTGCTTTGTCGTATTGTATTTCATTTTTGATATCACCACAAACTTAGGAAACTTCTAACCACTAGTGCAGATATTTATGGAGATGACTTGGTGGTCTTATATTACTATTTATGCCCTATCTCAAATCTAGTACATTCTCCTCTTAATATTATATCCATATGTCAGGATTTAATACACGCTTTTCTTTGGCAGTATGTAAAGTTGTTACTCTTTGTGTCCTGTAGGTGGAGCAGTTGTTCCGTCTTGGTCTCAGGTCCAGAGGAGACTGTGAGGAGCTGCTGCAGAGCTGTCAGTGGAACCTGGAGCGGGCCAGTACTCTCATGCTCCACACATACGGACCCCACAACAAGTAACTTCAGTTTTTATATATATGTACTATAACATTTGAGTATTCTGAATTTACATTAAACTCTAATACAAATGTTAGTTGCAATATGAACATCCTCCTTCACAATCTTATAAAAGAAAGAGCATAAAACATTATCTATACTAAAGCAACAATAGACTAACAGAGTAAATATTATGGTAATATGTGATTTGTTGTGTTGAACTTTAAAGTAGTACTATGTCATTTTTATGAGGTCAAAATTTATTTATAGAGTACATTTAAATGCAAAATTGCTAGGAATAAAAATCAGCCAGCAATAATAAAATACAATAAATAGAACAGTATATAAAAGAATAACAAGAAAAAGAAGGAGGAGAGTCACTGTCCTTGCTGGGAATGTTCTACAGTGTGGCATTAAACTTATCTGTTTCCCATGTGGACGAGCAGGCGACACAACCAGGCCAAGTTATGAGTCATATCTCTGAAGAGGCATCCCCGCTCACACCCATATGTTTTTCAGGTGTTTTCAAGCAATAAAAAAAAAAAAACATAAGTAAGTTTATTGTCATATACTGTGAAACATTCCAGGCAAAGCAATAAAACACAATAACATCTCTTCACACCAGAAAAGTTACACAATGCAGATTTAAATTAATAAGTCAAAGAGAAGGAGTGAGGAGTATATATTGTTACAGGCTAATTTACATACTGTATTTTTCAAACTATAAGTCACTCTGCAGTATAAGTCGCACCAGCCAAAAAATACGTAATGAAGAAGAAAAAACATACAAGTCGCACCGGACTATAAGTCGCACTTTTTGGAAGAACTGTATTATATTTATATTCATATATTAATATACATTTATATAAAATCATAGACCAGGAACCAACATTTCATCTTGAAAGGCAAGTTATAGTAATAACAATAGAACAGAGAACAACAGACTGTTAATGTTACATATGAAACAGTTCTTCAGATAAATATAACATAAACAACAGAACAAGTTTACCAAACTCTCCATCTCACTCCAAATCACTAAATCCATTGAATTCTTCATCCTCGGTGTCACTTCTGAGCAACTCCACAACATCCAGAGATAAACTGAGTGCCGCTTCCTCTTCTGCGTAGCTGTCGTCAGACTCAGCATCAGCTCCAGTTAGAATTTTTCCGGTCTTTCTGAATCCTGACAGGATGGTTTCGGTGTCACTGAAGTCACTTAAATTTTGAATTTTCAGTGATACAGAAGTAATGGTGTGATCGACTGACATGATACAGACATGACAACAAGTCTTTCTGCTGGAGACATGCGCAGTAGAGCCAAGTGACAGTACAGGAGTAAAAGGAGCAGCAGATACGGACACACAAGCACAGAGCCTCTCGCAGCTTCAGTGTGAAAATTTTAATATATAAGTCGCACCAGAGTATAAGTCACAGAACCACCCAAAAACCATGAAAAAAGTGCAACTTATAGTCCGTAAAGTTCGGTACTTGCAGTGTTTTACTAAATAAAATGGTTAAATGTTATGTTTTTTGTCTGCAGGCCATGAGATGAAGACAAACAAAGACAGACTGAATTTTAGTTTACTGATCATTTCTTAAAGAAGACTGAACCCTGGATGGACTCTGCTGTGAAACTGGGACCCCAGACTTGACCCGTACTTACCCAATGGAACAAACTTACCCTATTTATTTACAATGTACATGTTTGTTGCTGCTGGTAGCTCCTGCTGTTTCTAAAGTGAGTATTACTTGAGCTTTGATAATGCAATCATATCCAGGCATGTGTCTATACAAACATTTGCCATTGCTTTTAGTGGAGCAACGTTTTATCAGGGACATTTCACATAGTGATGAAGTATGTGGCTAAACTAGGCTTTTGTGACAATGTACCTGCAATACAAAGTTGTTCTGTATAAAATTATGGTTATGGAAGTTCATATTTTTGGGGGAAATCTGAAATATGTTAAAAGACTGCTGGACAGGTCTAGTTCTGTTGAGATGTTTATATCATGTCTTAAGAAAGCTTATTGAAATGCCATATGTATATCATGTTATTTAATATGCCAAAACAACGTGCAATAAATAATTCCCTTGTTATACTTATGGAGTGTAAGTTGACAAAATTTAAAATGTAAACTTAATTGAGAAACATGTGAAGTGCATTCTTCTATTTTTATTAGTGTATTTGTTTTTCAGATAATACATTTCCTCATAATAGAGAAAACAGAATACAGTGTGACTGGGAAGGGAAAGACTCAAAACTTTCCTGTACTTAATTAGTCCTTAAAGGTGCATCTTTTCTGGTGGAGGGTACCTGCTGGTCTTCATGTAGCTGTTATTGCTTTAGAGGATTGTTTCCCAAAAACTAGGCCACAAGAGAATTTTTTTTGGGTCGCCTTGTCACGATCTAGCCAGGCTAGCGCCACCTAGTGCCTCCGCTCCATTTCATTTCTCTCCAGCGACTAGGTCAGGAATCAGAATACACTAGACGGTTGGCAAAAACCCCCGAAGTGCGAGTCCGGGCACCAGCCACTCAGTGAAGAGACATATATTCTGTGTTGGCAACGATTCTCGAGATCGAGGATTTAAAGCCGGAACAAAGAGAATGTTTGGTGAATATTATCAAGGGGAAAGACGTTATTACCCTTCTTCCTGCGGGATTAGGGAAAAGCTTAATATACCAGTTCACCCTGTTAGTGGCGCATTACATACGTCACAACCAAATAGCAGCGACTGGTTAAATAAAAAAAAGTACCCGCTTACTGTCGAGCAAATGAATCGTAAAGCTGCGAGGTCAGACGGTTTCCACGAAGTGAACGATCTGCATGTAGGTCGGCAATATACAGTTCTGACACATGTTGAACTGTTAAGACCTGTTTTGTATAATTTCTAATCTTTTTAATTATTTTAATGACTATTTTGTTCCAATATTGCTGGTTCAATTGAATGTTGAAAAGAAAAAGAAATGGGCTACATTTAAAGTCCAAATAGGCGACTTATGGATCCTTTAAGTTTAAAACTTGAATAATACTAATTGTTCAGAGAGACACAATCACTCAGTCAACAATAAAATATCATCAATAATGTTCAATAATGTTCAAATCCACCTTTATTTTGTGATTTATGAATAATGTCTATTGACTTGGGTTGTGAAGGTTTGTGACTTTTAAAATATGGGTCCCCAGAAGAAAGTTTTGGAAATACTGCATTAGAGATCAAACCTAATTATTATACTTTTATAAATACAATAAATGCTACATAGATGTGTTTAATGTCATGCCATGGAAGATTCCAGGCAAAGCAAGAACATCTCCATGGAGACAAGCAGGTGACGGACCCTTATAAATGCTGTTTTCAGTCTCTGCAGATACTTAAAGCTGTAGTATCGAATTGGTATTGTAACTCAGTTCTGCACACTTAAAGATAAATACAGCTTTGTGGGTTTTTTTTTCAATAACTTAAAATTACTGTGACTATGTATGCAATATAAATTAGCCTAAAATTTCACGTTTTGATTTTCAGCCCTACATGACTGAAATATATTGCCCTATAGTTACACCACGTGCTTCACTTTAACAAAGAAAACTGGATAATCATATTTACTGTAATGTCTGCTATGCATCTGAGTGAACCTGGGTCTATAAAGGACTTGTACTTGTACTTGAAACGCAAAGGTATTTTTATGTTGTATGTATTAAGACTTGACAATAATGATGTAATATGGTGAGGCTTAGGTATTTTATATTCACACTGTACTGGCCACATTTTGTATTATTATTTTTTACTTTCCTTTTATGGATTTTATGTATGCTACTGAGCTGTTCTATGGTATGTTAAATCAATGGCAAAATTAAAATGTAACTTGCTACACTTGGTATTTCTTTAGTAAGTACATTTTTTATGTATATAGCACTTTTCACAGACATTTGTCACAAAGACGCTTTACAGATCATTATTCATTCACTCCATACCCAGTGGTGGTAAACTACTGTTGTAGACACAGCTGCACTGGGGCAGACTGACTGAAGCGAGGCTGCCAGTCATCATCATTGGTCCCTCCGACCGCCACCATCACTCACTCACACACAACTTTCATACTTGGCAATGTGGGTGAAGTGTCTTGCCTAAGGACACAACGACATTTATTGTGACTGGCGCCCCCCTGTGGCACCTGATTTTCCCAGTGTCTCCCATCCAAGTTCTACCCAGGCCCGGCCCTGCTGAGCTTCTGAGATTTAACGGGATCAAGCTTTTAACAAACCAGTATGGCCACTTACTTTAAAGTAAATTAGGTCTAGTTTGACTTATTGTTATGATAATTTTATATGTAATTCATATATTTGTTTATGTTTGTCAGGTCTTGTAGCAGAACAATACCTACTTCTAATTTCAGTATTATATAAAAAATCATTTTAAATAGGCTAGTCTAGTGTAGTACAATTACTACAGGGTAACCGCAGGGTCTTAGAAGTCTTAAGAAGGTCTTAAATTTTAAACAATACTTTGGTTTCTGGCGCCAGCGGTAATGAGTAAACAATCAGTAGAGTGGAGGAAGACGCTGGATGGATCATGGGGGAGTGTAGATTTAATCCACAGTGGCTCTTAGATTCTAGACAAAGTACCGGTAGTTGATTGAACATTATTAAAACTGGATTTGGTGTTTTTCACCCGCATAATGGGTGCGATGTTGGTCTTAATTTTCATTTAAGTGGTCTTAAAAAGGTCTTTAAAAAGTCTTAAATTTGGGGTAGTCAAACCTGGGGATACCCCTGTACTACAAAAACTGGCAGTCGCAAAAATAAAAAAAAGTATGAAGAAAAAGTGAAAATAAAAATATAGTAATGCAAAATATATCTAGGTTATATACAAGACGAGGGTATTTAAAGGTTGGCTATGTAACTTTTTCTAGCTTGTCTCCATGGAGATTTTATTTGCTTAGATTTCTTTGAGGACAAACAGATGACTTCACTAGGCCAAGTTATAGGTCAGATCTGTGGAGAGGCAACCTGCTCACTACTGTATCAGCAATAAAAACATCAGCAACTGAACAGATGCGACTTTAATGCCATTGTGTGGAACATTCCAGATAAAGCATCTCCCTGGCGACAAGCAGGTGGCCGACCCCTCACCCGAAAAGTTACATAGGGCGCCGTTAACAGTAACTAATGCTAGGTTGCAGTTGTAATTTTCCCTCAACTAAAGAATCTGAGGACAGTACATTTTAGCTTTTGTGTGTAACTTTGTGTAATTGTCAGAGTAGATCAAACCGCCATTCGCCGACGCCTCCAGATGACATCACACCCCACCCCGGTTTGGGACGGGGGTCTTTTTGTGGCGCGTTTGGCCCCGGTTCAGCCCTGTCCTCGAGTGAATCTGGGAAAAGACGGAGCGCCGCAGATCAAAGACACGTTTTCTTTCTTTTTCTGTCCTTTGTGTGAGTGTCAGAGCATCACAGAGGGGCCACAGAGGTGCACACTGTTCAGCTGCTGTGAGGACAGAGAGCGAGGAAGGGAGGAAGGAGGGGTACACGAGGGGATAGGTGCTGAGAGGTAGGAGGAGTAGGAGTAGTAGTTGTTCTAGTAGCTACTTGCAATAAGAAGTAATAGGAGTGGTAGTAGTAGGTACTTTCTAGGTACATTACTTGAAATGCTGGTGGTAGTAGTAAAAAAAACTAGTACCTGTAATAGATGGAGTAGTAACAGTATTTGCTGTGTAAGCAGTAGCAATAGGAGACAGTAGCAGGCAGTGACAGTAGCAGTAATATTAGCAGCAGTAGTAGTGGTACTGGTAGTGGTAGTAGTAGTAGTAGTAGTAGTAGTAGTAGTAGTAGTAGTAGTAGTAGTAGTAGTAGTAGTAGTAGTAGTAGTAGTAGTGGTAGTAGTAGTAGTAGTAGTAGTAGTAGTGGTAGTAGTAGTAGTAGTAGTAGTAGTAGTAGTAGTAGTAGTAGTAGTAGTAGTAGTGGTAGTAGTAGTAGTGGTAGTGGTAGTAGTAGTAGTAGTAGTAGTAGTAGTAGTAGTAGGTAGTAGTAGTAGTAGTAGTAGTAGTAGTAGTAGTAGTAGTAGTAGTAGTAGTAGTAGTAGTAGTGTAGTAGTAGTAGTAGTAGTAGTAGTAGTAGTGGTAGTGGTAGTAGTGGTAGTAGTAGTAGTAGTAGTAGTAGTAGTAGTAGTAGTAGTAGTAGTAGTGGTAGTGGTAGTAGTGGTAGTAGTGTAGTAGTAGTAGTGGTAGTAGTAGTAGTAGTAGTAGTAGTAGTAGTAGTTAGTAGTGTAGTAGTAGTGTAGTGGTAGTAGTGGTAGTAAGTAGTAGTAGTAGTAGTAGTAGTAGTAGTAGTAGTAGTAGTAGTAGTAGTAGTAGTAGTAGTAGTGTAGTAGTGGTAGTGGTAGTAGTGGTAGTAGTAGTAGTAGTAGTAGTGGTAGTAGTAGTAGTAGTAGTGGTAGTGGTAGTAGTAGTAGTAGTAGTAGTAGTAGTAGTAGTAGTAGTAGTGGTAGTAGTAGTAGTGGTAGTAGTAGTAGTAGTAGTAGTAGTAGTAGTGGTAGTAGTAGTAGTAGTGGTAGTAGTAGTAGTAGTAGTGTAGTAGGTAGTTAGTGTAGTAGTAGTAGTAGTAAGTAGTAGTGGTAGTAGTGGTAGTAGTAGGTAGTAGTAGTAGTAGTAGTGGTAGTAGTAGTGGTAGTGGTAGTAGTAGTAGTAGTAGTAGTGTAGTAGTAGTAGTAGTAGTAGTAGTAGTGGTAGTGGTAGTAGTAGTAGTAGTAGTAGTGGTAGTAGTAGTAGTGGTAGTGTTGGTAGTGGTAGTAGTATTTATTTAATTTATTTATTTATTGAGACAAGAACAGTGCACAATCTACATTAATCTTAACAAGAGAGATGTAGTAGTAGTAGTAGTAGTAGTAGTAGTAGTAGTAGTAGTAGTAGTAGTAGTAGTAGTAGTAGTAGTATAGTAGTAGTAGTAGTAGTAGTAGTAGTAGTAGCAGTTGAAGTACCTATTTTGTCAAATAAGATTTAGTAGCATAGCAATTATAAAACTAAAGAATTAAACCTGGACTGGACCAGACCAAGTCTACATCATGACCAAGGGCACATTGTTGGCTCCTAGTTTGGGCCCAGTTTAGTCCAGATGTAAACTTCCTTTCATTTTCTTCTAGTCCTGGTCTAGTCCATGATTAGTTCAGAATTTATGTAGTAGCATGTAGTAGTAGTAGATTATAATTAGAAGTGGCAGAGGGAGAAATGTAGTAATAGCAGTAGTAGCAGCTGCAGTAAATCTAGTACAGTACAGTAGTATTATATAGTATAGTATATAGTAGTGACAGACTGAACAGCAGGGGGCACTGTTTCAAACAGCTCTCAGTCTTTGAACCAACGGGGGCTCTACATTTGTCTTGACATCTTTGTTACAGGAGCTGAGACCAAAGTCAAGACCACAACTAGAAAAGTAAACACTACACAAATATTTGTATATTTGTAGTACTAGTAGTTATGTCCATACCTCTAAATGAATACATGACATGGAGTAGTTAGCAGTAGTAGTCATTTCTTTGAATCTTTTAGTAGTTGTATTTGTATTAGCCGCAAAAGTGGGCAAATGGTAGTAGTAGTAGTAGTAGTAGTAGTAGTAGTAGTAGTAGTAGTAGTAGTAGTAGTAGTAGTAGTAGTAGTAGTAGTAGTAGTAGCAGCAGTAGTGTCTGAATACCTGGTCACTGCTCAATGTCTCCCTCTAATGGACAATGTATAGATTGCATTTATCTGCTACTACGAAAACCAATTTTAGCAAAATCAAGTTAAAAATTGACTTCTTCAGCAAAAGTGCCGTAGAAAATATAAAAATAATAGGCCTAGTAGTAGTAATAGTAGAAGTAGTAGTAGCAGTAGTAGTAGTTTTAGTAATAGTAGTAATAGTAGTAGTGTTTGAATATCATTAAGCTTAATATCTCCTTCCAATGGGCAAATTTTAGTAGTAATAGTAGTAGTAGTAGTAGAAGTAGCAAAGTTGTAGTGTGTTGTAATTGACACATATATAACTTTCAAAGCTGGAGGCTCATAGTAATAGCAGTACTAGCAGTATTAGTAGCAGTATTAATAGCAGTAGTAGTGGCAGCAGCAGCAGTAGTAGTTTTAGTAGTAGTATTAATAGTAGCAGAAGCAAAGTTGTAGCAATTGACACACATAACTTTCAAAGCTGAGGGCTCGTAGGAGTAGTATTAGTTGCGGTAGCAGCATTAGTAGTATCAGCAGTGCTAGTAACAGTAAAAGCAGTAGTGCGGTAGTAGTAGTAGTAATAGTTTTAGTAATACAAGTAGCAATGTTGTAGTGCTTGACACACACATAACTTTCAAAGCTGAGGGCGTGTAGTAGTAGTATTAGTAGTATTAGCTGCAGCATTAGTAGTATAGTAGTACCAGCAGAACTAGCTGTAACAGTAAAAGTAGTAGTGCAGTAGTAGTAGTAGTAGTAGTAGTAGAAGTAGCAAAATAGCAGTAATTGACAGACACATAAGTTTGAAAGCTGAGGGCTCGTACTATAGACATGCCTGTTTTCATTTCTTCCATTCTTCTGTTCCAGCGTCGTCTAAACTGTAAGTCTTGGTTGAATTGAGACTCCTTCAGTTTCTATGACGTCTCTGTCCCTCAGCAGCCATTACCTGGAGCGTGACCGGGTTTAGAATGCACAGGTCCAATATTTTTCCAACATCTGGATTTTAAAGAGGCCAGAAGGGAATCGCTTTGGAGCTCCAGGTCGGTCACGTCCACATTAATCTAAAAAAGACTCAAGAAATCGGGTCTACGAGGGCCCAGGGACACACCCACTCAACTGCAGAGACAGGGCTCAGCTTCTCCCACATGATAGAGGTACATACACGTGATGGAATAGTTACTGAAAATGAAGTAAAGCGGAGTCGTCGTCCAAGTCGTTGCTCAAGTTTGGCAAAAAAAAAAAAGACAGAAAACAAATGGGCCTTATGTTTTTGTATTGGTGTAATTAGATGGAGTATAATGTAGAAATAATAAGATTGTACTTAAAACTGAAATACCCAACGTTTTCTAGCCAAATATGTCTTACATGTGAATTTTTCTTTTCTTTTCTTTTTTTTTTTTTTTTCTATTTTGCATTTCCATTGTTTTTGTTGTTGTTGTTTTCTTTTTCAAATTTTCAGGTTTTGAAAATGGAGGAGTGGTAGTAGTAGTAGTAGTAGTAGTAGGAGTATGACGAGTAGTAGTAGTAGTAGTAGTAGTAGGAGGAGGAGGAGGAGTAGAAGTAGTAGGAGTAGGGGTAGTAGTAGAAGGAGTAGGAGTAGTAGTAGTAGGAGGAGAAGGAGGAGCAATAGTAGTAGTAGTAGTAGTAGTAGTAGTAGTAGTAGTAGTAGTAGTAGTAGTAGTAGTAGGAGTAGGAGTAGTAGTAATAGAAGTAGTAGGAGTAGTAGTAGTAGTAGTAGTAGAAGTAGTAGGAGTAGGAGTAGTAGTAGTAGTAGTAGTAGGAGTAGGAGTAGTAGGAGGAGAGGAGGAGCAATAGTAGTAGTAGTAGTCGTAGTAATTAGTAATAATAGTAGAAGTAGTAGTAGGAGTAGAAGTACTAGGAGTAGTAGTAGTAGTAGTAGTAGGACGAGCAATAGTTGTAGTAGTAGTAGTAGTAGTAGTAGTAGGAGTAGTAGTAGTAGTAGTAGGAGGAGTAGTAGTAGCAGTAGGAGTAGCTACTTGCTATAAGAAGATAAATATACAATTACTAAATATTAACTAAACTAAATATACAGTTATAGCCAAATAATTGTACTCAAGTAACAAATTACTTATGTATTTTACCTTATAATATTATCAGTGAGTTAAACTAAAACAACTAGACTTGCTTAAGTACTACTACTACTACTACTACTACTACTACTAGTAATATCTTATTCCTGGATGTCTAAAATTTTAAAAATTTGATGTGGTAGATTCAGGAACAGTGCTCGTGTTTACAGAAAGTACAAAATAAACATCTGAATGAACTATAGACAGAAGAAGTTTCAATCTGTGTTAGGAAGACATTTTGAGGACATGTGTATCTATAACTTTTTAAAATATTGTTCCCAAGCTAAACAATGACCTGAAAACTACTATAAATGTAAATGAAATCGGTTTATATTCTTAAAAATAGTCAAACATGAATGATTCAGACTTAGTAACCACTTCATTAAAGGTCAGGAGTAAGGGCTTGGGTATTAATTACAGTGAATAGCTCGTCTATTTAAGTCTATTTTTACATTATGTCTCTTTTTGTGACTGGAAGACATGCTTCTTCCAGTTTTGCCGATGCCAAGGGTTAAGTTAACTGTTGGTCTGTTAAATTATAATTATGTAATGAACCAAGAGAAGGAAATGGGCCATTAACTGGTAATTAAAGGCAAGTCAGGACATGAGTGCAGCTGCAATGGTGTATAGAGAACATATGGGAAACAGTGATCATTAAAAAAGTACCTCCGGGCATAGTTTAAATCTAGAGTATATGTATTTTTGAGAATTTAATCCAAAATTCTTGTAATTTCTTGTAAATATTTAGAGAAATTACAGGTTGTCAGTCTAAATTTGCACCATAATAGAGTAAACTGTTGATATTATTGACATTTAAAACTATTATTTAGTTAAAAAGTATCACAATTTTCTGCTTTCATTATATTTTCAAATAGCTGTCAGTGTTTTGTAATGTAAAAAATATTATAGTGTACTTTTTGTGTGTAATTAGCCAAAATAATACAGAATTTATTTGCGTAGTTGATTATTTTTTTGTCTATTTTAAATGTTTTTTGTCAATATAAAAGTGCATTTTTATTTATACTAAGCACAAAACAGGTAATATTTGAGTCTAAACCTTTTAATTCTGATGTTTTTTTTGACAATTCCCATGTAAAACTATATGCACTACCCCTTTTCCACCACTAGATGGAGCTCCAACCCAGCGCCACCTGCTCGTGACACTGGCACAGGGCCTGTCTTTGAGATCCAGAGGTGAACTTTACAAAAACACTGAAATCTGAGCTCTAAATGTGACTACTTATGTGGAACGCAACCTCAAATTATACCGACCGCAAACTTTGGAGAAATAGACGCTAAATTAAACGATTTCTTCAACAACAAGTTACTTCAAGGTACTCTGTGATTAGTGGCAAACTTTGTAACCCCTTTTGAAGATCACAAAATGGTTGCGTCGCTTTGTCGCTTGCTGTCAGTTTTGATTTGACGTGTATACTGCTGATTTACACTAGAAAAACCGAGCTGATTTTCACTTTTTCTTTTTTCCTTTACCTCCTTTTGAGCTGCTACACATAACAAAGTACAGAGTAAACAAAAGCATTGCTATCCCGGGGTACAGTGTATCATCTGAAGCCAGCGGGTTAATTGGCACTATACAACAGATGTAACATTTGTCGCGAAAAAACGTGCTTAAAAAGGAAGAAAAATGGTTGATTAGAGGCCTTTAAGATGTGGGGCTATGTCTGTGGCTATGGACCACCTGGGGGTCTTTCACTGCTGTTTCAATGTCATTTATGTGAAAGCCCCGTGCGGCCTTGACACAGCTTGAGAAAAAGAGGTAGAGAGAGAGCAAGAAAGAAAGAGGGGAGATGTCTCAATTCAAACCAAAAGGGGAGAGGGGGAATAACAGGCTAAACAGTGGAAAAAAATGCGTTCACAATAGCGCAATGTCTATCAAAGAATCCGAAAGTGAGCGTTTAGGGGGGGTTACCTTGGCACAAGCACACACTACACCTTTTATTAGCGAGAAGATCAAAGATGGACGACATGAAAAGAGGTAGAGCGGCCTCACATTTTCAGCTCATTCAACCACTCTACATTTTTTCTTTTTTTTTTTTACCAAATTAAGAAAGCGTAAAAGCATGCCAAGTACAATAACTCAAGATGCTCCAAGTCCCCAAAAGCCTGTCTCTAATGAGTGCACCATTTCAACAAAACGCCGAAAACGTTTTAAGATTTATCAAATATTTTATTCTCAAAATAAAGGTCATATTGCTTTTCAATCGCAAAAGAGGACATCTACAGTTTGTACAAATTTACAATAGCTTATATAAAGTTTTCTTTTTTACACACATTTACACATTTGTACAGTAATATATATAGAGAGATATAAATACAATTTTCAAAACAAAATATTACAAAATGAACCCGTAAAATACTTGGGTGTTATTAAGGCTTAATTTAAACCATCTTTGATTGAATAAGCAATGTTATCCGGCACTGAAAGAAGCAGTGGTTCTCAACTGGCGAGTTAACATTAAAAAAATATTCACGATTTACTACAGTTTTCGTTAATTTGAAAGTTACATTTTGTTATGAGAAATGCTCGGACAGGTTTAGAAATGCTTCTGGCAAGTTTGTGGTGAAATAATTGAGAAAAATACAAACTTTGGTGCACAATTTGGATCGCGAGGAAGTTAAAAAGTGAAAAATAAAGCTCACGTGAGTTGAGAACCACTGCAAGTAGGTAAAGAAATGCTATGAAAACACATAATGCCCAGCTGGAGAGAGCCTGGTGATGGCAAGGCTCTAATACATATAAACAGAAGATTTAACCTGTGCTAATCCAGGGACATTGTTGGGACCAGTTCTGCCTGTGGAGGTGAGTTGTTTCGGGGGGGAGGCTCATTCCTATGTAAATGCACGTCACAGGAGGACTGATGGTTTATCTCCCCAACAATTAGCAGTCCCCATAAGCTGCCATAGTCTTTCACCTCTGAAATGATTCAAACTTGGGACAATGGCATTTGCTTGGGGCAGGACACCGAGCTCGCCGTACCGGACCGCCATGTTAATCCCGTGCTCACGTCGCTGTACATTGACCCGCTGGTTCCTTTGCTCCCCCAGCAGCAGCGGGTGCAAAAAGTCCTCCAGGAATCCACGGTTTTCCCAGACCATATCCAAACTCCAGACGTGATGCCCACGAGGAGGCACATAAAGTACTTCAGCATGAAAACTGCGTAGTCTGGACTTCTTCTGTCCCTTTCTAGTAAACAGTTTCCACAAGTGTGAGTTATCTCCCAACTCTGTCTGTTGTGCTGTTCGTAGAAGTAACACGCCACGATAATAGTAGCTGGCACTGTGTATAGGACTGTAAAAATGCCTATTCTAATCATGAGCTTCTCCAGTTTGTCAGTCTTGGTTCCTCCTTGTTTAATGACACTTCTGATCCTAAAAAGTGACACAAATCCGGCTAGGAGGAACATAGTGCCAATGAATAAATATATGACCAGAGGAGCCAGCACAAACCCTCTTAAATTGTCCAAATTTTGGTTTCCCACGTAGCATATTCCAGCTACAGAGTCTCCATCAACAGAACTGAGCGCCAACACAGCGATGGACTTCATACTGGGGATTAACCACGCTGCCAGATGAAAATACTGGGAGTAACTCGCTATGGCCTCGTTGCCCCACTTCATGCCCGCTGCGAGGAACCACGTTAGCGACAGGATCACCCACCAGATGGAGCTGGCCATGCCGAAGAAGTAGATAAGTAGAAACACCACGGTGCACAGCGCGGGTCCTGTGGTCTCGTAATGGATATGCTCGATGTCGTACTCCCGGTTGCACGCTACTTTCTCGTGCCCAGCGATCAGCCGGACGATGTACCCCACAGATACAAACATGTAGCACACGGAAAGAAATATAATCGGCCTCTCTGGGTATTTGAAGCGCTCCATGTCGATCAGGAAAGTGGCCACGGTTGCAAAGGTCGAGATGAAACACAGCACCGACCACAAGCCGATCCAGAAGGCGGTGAAGGCGCGCTCGTCGTGGGTGAAAAACGGGTTGTGGCACGGCATGGCGCAGTTGTTGATCTGTCCCGTTTTCACCCGGTTGTAGAGCGGGTGTCTGTCGGTGTTCACGGGCACCATGGGCTCCATACACTTGCACCCGGACTCACATGGAGCGGACGGCGGCTTGTACTTCCCACCAGCGCCCGGTCTGTTTGGCTTGTGCTTGTTATTAATAGGCGGGTTGTACGCGCCTTTATTGCTGTTGCCCGGGTTGTTGGTGGGCTTTGACAACACGGGGGAAACAGTGGTGGAGTCCGTTCTGTTATAGTCCATGCACAAAGTATCGGGGTTGCCTTGCACGGGTAGCAGGTCGCACTTCATCCTATCCGGCCAGGGGAAGCCATACTGACGCATGAGAGGCGCGCACCCAGCCTTGGCACGTTCGCACACGCTCCGGCACGGTGGCAGCGGCTTTTTATAGTCCTCCAAACATATCGGTGTGTACATGCTGCACAGGAAAAACTTCAAGTCCGGGGAGCACTGGATCTCAACGAGAGGCCAGAACTGGTGCACCTCCAAGCCCGCTTCGTCCTGCGTGTCGTGGTTGAACTGATTGGGCATGTAGGTGTAATTGTAGCCGATACCTTTGCACAGGGGCACCGCTATCTCTTGGCATTGCAGCTCCTTAGCCGCCGTAGAGGTAGTCCGCGGTAAAAGAGCGAGGCACAGGAGCAGGTATATCCCCAAAAGGTCCATCTTTCCCCGGCCGTCGCGTCTCTAGCCTCCTCCGCTCCGACGCAGATGGTCCTCGGTTGAATCCACCTTCCTCTTGGTTTGACTGTATCCTCAAAACGAGCGCGTGGTAAAAATGTGACCGCGTTTCATTACCAAAACAAAAAAAAAATGTGGCTCTTCTTCGCGTTCACACACGTCCACCTTATTCCTTATCGCTCTCAATACAAATCACAAGCTTTGCCTCGGAGCAATAAGGTTTTATACGGCTCTCGCTTACGTCTCGCCCCTCGACCCTCTGGACCAATCAGAGAGCGGCGTGGGCGGAGTCACGTGCAGTCAATCAACATTTTTTTTTTTCTCCAAACCAGAGACGTTTTGTTAGAAAGGCGATAATAAGACTACTCCGAGTTTCCGCAAAATGTTAATTAGAAAATAATACACATTTACATCTAAAGGGAGTTTGTTTTTCACATGTTTCAACTAATTATAACTTAGTGATGTATATTGTTATACAACTGGGCTCATTAGTAACTTCATTATGCTCGTATATACACGTTTTATGACTTTTAATTAAAACATTGTGAATTATCTGCGTGCGTAAAGCGTGCGTAATTGACGTTCGGTTCTAAATATAATGCGCAATACTTGTAACAAACTAAGGTATAGGATTTAAGCTGGTAATAATGATCATTCCAAACTATTTAAACTTCACATAAACCTCTTTTTATGCAGTGCAAGTACACGCGCGTGCCATATTTTAACTATTAAATGATAAACTATTTGTATATTTGTTTAGTTTTGCGTTGTATAGTTTTTGGCGCACTCTCCACAGCATCATTCTTGCAATCCTCGTCCACCAGTTGCACGCTGTAACCGTCTCTGAATGTTTGTGAAGGGAGCTGAAGAGAAAGAGAGAGAGAGGGAGAGTGGGAGAGAAAGAGAGAAAGAGAGAGAGAGGGAGTTGGGAGTTGGGAGGGGGGGTCAAGTTTGTTAAATCGGCTAATTTGCTCATGATAAGACTTCCCGTGGAGCTGTCTGTCCGCGCTGAAAAAAGCCGTTTTATATTTGAAATGAGGTGCTAATGTTTCGGTTAACGCTCGTATTGGCGCACGGCGGGAGGCGTAATTGCGCAGAGCCAGAGAGCAAGCAGCGCAAGCCGAGACACACTGCGCGCAAATAGAGAAGTAATATCAGCGCAGTGGGGTTAATACACTGAGCTCGTCTGGAGATCTGAATGCAATCTCCTTGTGTTAAATGGATTTTGTTTGGCAAACCCAGACTTTTATCAGAGCCTTATCTCCCTCATCCCACAGTATAAACCACTTTGACTGTCTGTTTCTGTGGCAATACCAGTACCAATGTATGCAAATGCGAAAACGTGCAAGTGTTCTCAAATAATATGCAAAATAATAGTAGCACAGCTTCAAAATAAAGTAGAAAGCGGATTTATAAAACTGAGTATATGTCCAAACTCATATGTGGGCAGAACTTAGTTACATTTACTCAGTTACAATTACTTTTTGAACTTTATATGGTCTGTATTAAATCATTTTGACACCCGTGTTGATTTTCACTTGCTGGATTTTGTGCTTTCTTTAAAATTTCAGATTTATAAACAGAGGTGGGGACTTGCAAGTCGCGACTTGGACTCGAGTCAGACTTGAGTCACTGTTTTTAGGACTTGAGGCTTGACTTAATAAAATGGACTAAGACTTGCAACTTGACTTGGACTTGAAGGTCAGTGACTTGAGAAGACTCGAGAAGCACTTTTAAATCTGAATTCTTTCTATTCTGACTGTAATGATTCACTCTAAGATCTTGTCAAGACATTTAAAAAGGAAAAATTTACATTTCTACAATTCTTATATACTCTATAAATACTCAGATATAAATATACTATGATTTTTTAAGTTCAATTTATCTTAAAAGTCATATAAATTACAAAAATCTAAGCTATATTTGGTACTTTAGTTTAAAGACTTGAAATGACTTGAAACTCAAATCAGACGACTTGGATTTGACTTGGATTTATGGGCCAGTGACTCGAGACTTGACTTGGACTTGCCTGTATTTAATCTGGGACTTGACTTGAACTTGAGGTCAAAGACTTGAGACTTGCAAAACAACAACTTGGTCCCACCTCTGTTTATAACATTAAATTATAAAATAAAAAAACTCTATTCAGTAGTTTTGTAATATATTGGATGATTACTTTGGTCTTCAACTTAACTTCAGTAATATTTTTTGTAACAATACTCTTACTTGACCACTATTTTTGGCTGTACGCACCTCTGTGAAACAACACTGCATACTGCACTGCGATTAGTTTTAGCAAAATATAAAATATAAACTAAATAATAAGCTCTGTGCGGGTATTACTCAGTTGTGTTTTTCTCCTTCTCCTTCACTGTCTCATATTTGCCCCTATATCCTTTGAAAATACTTGATTATGTGCATTATTTTAACATGTTGTCCTTCCAATTACATTAACGTCGTTTCTTTTAACTCTTTAAGTTACTTTTAGTTGAGTAGTACTTTTTTTTTTACTCTCACTTGAGTCATTTCTTGGACCACTACTCTGTACTTCTCCTGCTCTGACTACAATGTTCGGCTCGTCTCCCCACCTCTGACTCACGGTGGTAAAATGAAAAAAATGTATTCAAACATGAAAACTAATTGCAGAGTTCCTTACTTGTCCTATAGCGCAGACATGAACAAAAGCCCATGTTTAAGCACTAACTATACAGTGAACGTGCCCATAACTCTTCCACGCTGAGGAGTCCATGCTGCATACTTCCTACACATTCCTGTATGATGTATGAGACTGTTCACATGGGCTAAAATACATGGAGCTAAAAATGGAGTGGCGCCGTCAAATCGTATAGACATTGTTTAAGAAGGACGTTACCGTAAAGATATTGTTTGCATGTGAGGTTCAATCATAAGGTATTTTTAGATATCTGATTTAACTCATCTAGAGAGGTTAAAGGGACAACGTTACTCTGTTTTCTGATGGATTAAAATGTTGTTTTCTCGTCACAAACACACCTAGAGTTGTATTTTGTTTCATTCATGCATGTTTAACACACATATTTAGCGTATTTTGTACATTTTGGGGTATGTTTTTGGTGAAGTAACAACATTTTAACATGACTAAAAGCTCACAAGAGTCAATTTTGCATAATATAAGAGCTTTAAGTTTTCAAAGCAATCACTTGAAATACTCTGGTACTTCAGTGATCAGTAATGAATGAGCTTTAATCAATAACACAATATACATACTGTAGTTATAGAAAATGGCCCTTGTTTTGATGTTATAGTTGATCGTAACAGAGACTACAAAGGCAAAATACATTGTAATGATTAAAGAGTTGTTATGTTTGTTTATTGTTGCGATTAAGTTCCGTGTAATGTCAGGGAGTAGTTATGGAAAGTTGTATAAAGTTGTTATCAGTATTACCAAGTAGTACGAAGAATCAAAGGTCATAATGAGTTATCTACTCTATATTAATTATTTTCCAAAGCGTAACTAGAAACGTTGAAGAAATTAAAACATGAATGCCATCTAGTCTAATGAGGTTCATTTGGTCTTCTGATATTTTATGTTATTAGGTTCCTTTTTCAGACCAAGAGTTTGTTTTCAGGCATGACAACATTACTGTACATCAGGGGCATAAAAGAAAAAGTGCAGAGGGCGATGAGAAAACACAATATCAACACACCAGAGAAACCGAACAGAAAACTCAGGCAACTACTCGTCCACCTAAAAGACAAAATAGAACCGGAACATAAATGTAATGTCATATACGAAATACCCTGGATGTCCTGCAATAAAACATACATCAGGGAAACAGAGAGTACACGAAAAAAGGAGCATAGGACAGAATGCGAGAAGAAAACAGCGAAGGTGAAACAACAAAACACAAAGCAGAACAGGAACAGCTCAAATCGGCCATTTCTGAGCACTGTAAAAGAGAGAACCACATTATGGACTGGGACGGAGCAAACATAATTGGGACAGAGGAAAACAAACACCATCGCTGGATTAAAGAGGTAATCGAAATAGAGACACGTGCCCACTGGACGATAAACCGGGATGAGGGTGCTTTATTATTCTCACACACCTGGGACACCATCCTGAGGAAGTCGGACTGCAAACGGTGCTGTCTTCCTGCCTTCAATGGTAGAAAGACATCACCAAAACCTGTTTAAATCAGCTGAACGGACACGTCAGGACCCTTCCTCAGGGTCGTGACCACACTGAGGAAGACAACTAGTGAGCATTCAAAACTGTCAGGGATGAAAACAAACTCTTGGTCTGAAAAAAGAACCTAATAACATGAATGCAATCTGAATATCTATATACCGTATTTTCCGGGCTATGAGGCACGCTCTTAAGCCTCTAACCCCATCAAAAAACGACCGCGCGCCCCGTAATCCAGAGCGACCCATACACGAATCCACTCGGGTGTCCCAGCACGACTTCAGTAAACTACAAAGCCGCACCACCCGCAGCGCACGCAAACACGCACGGAGCAGACAGCGACCGCGCAGCGAAACACACCCGCAGCCACACTCATCACTCCACACGGACGAGGAACGTAAAGAAGGAACGAACCAAAAAAGTGCAATGTGCCACTCTGAGCCACAACTGAACAACTGAGTCACTGCGAACACGCGACAATCCAACGATTCCACACAGCACCCTCCCTACATGCCACAATTTAACAAAGCCCAGAGTCACCGTGAACGCGCCAAACAAAGTCTGACTGACCCATTGAACTGTTGTGTTTCGTTTAAAGTACGGTGCGGTTTATTTGTGAAAAAAGTTCGAAAATAGACCATTTAATGACAGTGCGTCTTATAATCCAGAGCACCTAACAGCCTGTAAAATACAGTACTATAAGCTTCAGTAGTTTAAAGACACACTGTGTAACCTTGTCTCCATGGTGATATGATTGCTTTGTGTCAATCGAACTTTCGACAAAAGTTATCTTCTTATGTCTTAAAACTATTCTCATTTACAGGTGTTTTTATTGCTGAAAAAGTACCCTGAAAAACAGGCATTCTCCGCAGATCTGTTACTTGACCTGGAGTTTAATGCCACACTGTGAAACATTCCAAGCCAAGCAATGCCATCGCCACGGAGACAGGTATGCGGCAAACCCTCCACGAGAAAAGCGAGCATTTCATTACTGCAAGCGAAGAA